ATGTATCAGAAATTTCCCATGGGCCCACGTGCACACTGCGCGCCAAACGGTTACTTGGACAAATTATCAACCTCGTGATCCTGTAACTTATACCATACGCGCTTATTTTGGTAAGGAGGAGTATTCTCGATCTGGGAATTCAACGGCGAGCCAACATGTTACACACATTAGTTAAGTTTGGAGTCCCACAGGGCTCTGTGCTGGGTCCGGTCCTGTTCAACATCTACATTCGCTCTTTGTACTCAGCAGCACATGATTTGAACTTCTCCATCCAGGGTTACGCCGACGATCATCAGCTGTATAAAAGTTTCAAGCCAAACGAGGAGCCCACCGTCCTTATCAACGATGTTCCCAAATGTTTCCAAGAAATTAATGACTGGATGAAAAAACATTATCTACAGCTCAATGCAGGAAAAACTGAGATTCTTGTTTTTGGGACACCGCTTGTTCTCCAGCAGCTGTCTATAGGGGGCGTGTTTGTTAACTCTGAGACGTGTGTCAGGCTGTCACCTGTTGCAAAGAACCTCGGATTTCGTCTCGACTCTCAACTAAACTTTGGTGAGCAAATCAAGCAACTTAAAACATCGTGTTTTCTGAAACTAAGAGACCTTGCTAAGATGAAAACATTCCTTACAACCAAACAGATGGGAACACTGACTCAAGCAATTGTTATCTCATCGCTAGACTACTGCAATGCGCTTTACTATGGTTGTAGTCAAGCCTCAATTACGCAGCTGCAGAACATTCAGAACCGAGCATGCCGTCTGGTTTTTGGATTAAAGAAGAGAGACACAGTCGAGGAGAAGCTCAAATCCCTTCATTGGCTCAAGGTGAAGGAAAGGATTGAGTTTAAGTTATGTTTACTGATTTTCAAAGCAGTCAATGGTGTTGCTCCTGCATATCTGTGTGATCTAGTAACATTTGTTAGTTCGATTAGCAGAAGAACTTCCTCCTTACACCTACCTGTCGGATCTACAAGATCGCACCCAAGAGCGTTTCAGACTGTTGCTCCGAAAATCTGGAACCAACTACCAATTGAAATTAAGACTTGTTCTGATGTTGATCTGTTCAAAACATTATTAAAAACTCACCTGTTTAAGAAAAGTTATGGCATGAGCGATTAATTGACAATATAACTTTATGTTATTTGCTTAAACTGTTTAGGATGCAACCTAATGTCATGATCTTTTTGAACTTATTAGCAATTAGACTGTTAGCTCGCTTCATAAGCATGTCATCTTCGTTCCAAAACTTTTTATGTCCTATGCATACACTCCTTGATAGTTATCTTGATCTAGTATCTTTGTTTCACACAATAGAGCATAAGTTTTGTGGTTTATCCACTGGGCTTAGAGTTTGTGTTTAAGCTACCAAATTTTATTATTATTATTATTATATCATAGCATACAATTTCTGATTACACGCAGTAGGGACCTGTAGCTGTTATGTGTACAATTAGCGATATTTAACTTTTTATAATAAACATATGATAAAGAATGTGAGCTCAATAAAATTTAATTCGTATTATATGCTCTACTAAAATTTTGGTCTACTTCAAAATTAGTCGCCGAAAAATTTTGTCACATGAAAACAATTTTAGTCAAAAGTTTGACTAAATTTATAATAGACTAAATTTGTCGTTCTTAAGGTAAGTTTAATTTCTAAAAGTTTACTATCATTAGATTGCTAAATACATACGTGTGATTATCTCAAATATCACATCTATAGATTTGAGGTAGGGCCTGTCGTGATATCATGATTCATGGATCACTTAGGTTCCACCAGGATCTGGTAGTCCTCATAATTCTGTGGCCTCTATGTACTGTCATATCACACAACTCCTTAAATAATTTACACAATACAGTGTCCATGTCTGAGTGGCTGTCAAAAACCTTTCTCTCCTCTTCGGAGCAGAAGGTTTAAAACAAACACAGGTCTCACAAAGTCAAAAATTACTGTTTTCAAACGCTTGCGGAAGACAATATTCAAACTTCGATAAAGTATAACAAGTGGGTACTTCTCGGAAAGGGAAAACTATTTTTGAGTTGTTTTAATATAATTACTGCAAAACAAATTTCCAAATTTAAGCAAAAAAGAGCAAATGTTCACCTTGTTAGTTGAAGTATATTCGTTCATTTCCTGTCCAAGAAACTCATGGGACAGTGTCTCATGGACAGGGGAATAGACAGTATCTCATGCTGTACAACTATGTGTACAACCTGATTGAGACAATTGATCACTACAAGTTGGTGTGTAGCTGACCAAAGAGGCAATTGCCAGTTATAGTTAGTCATTAGCACAATTGTTGATTAAGCGGGCAGATTGGATACTATAGCTCTACAGTGCTGCCCCTGGTAACTCGTACTGCGTTTTATAGATCTAGATCGTAGAGTACGTTATATTGACCACAGACCACATTTGGGTTAGTCACATACTACTACAAAAATACTGCTAGGAACCGAGTACCGGTTTATGGATTTGGCTGCTGAACCGGTAACGGTCGGATATCATTTTATTCTCCTGTAGGAAACAGGAAATTACAATTTTATTGAAAAAGGTTAAAATTTCCGGCCGCTGGTTGCTATAGTACAAAATTATGAGATGTATCCCAAAAGTTTTGAAATCTCCGATTTTGTGCATCTCATGCGACGGTATCAGATCTCAGGACATGCTTTCAGGTGGATGATGATTAATCACTCTACACTCGACTGTCACATGACTTTTTAACACGGCCTCACGGTGGCCCTGAATGACTATTCGAAACCCTAACCCTCTAATCTGATCCCAACCCTAACCCAATCACTTATTGAAGCATATGCTGAAACCCTAACCCTAAGGATCAAGACAGTTTTTCGCCGATATCTCGTCAGGGGAGCATTTTAACCCTATGTCATGGGCCGCAGCCGGGTGATTCAGAATCAGCGTTCAAAAATACATCCATTCAGGTTGATTTCAACTGTCAGGGGCCCTTTTAGAAAAATCACGAAGATCAAGTGTAAAGTGATTTAACATGCTTTCAGGTCTCGAGATCAGACACGACTATCTGAGTAGGATTTTAATGGTTTTCGGTTGAATACCTTCAAGCGGGCTTGAAGTGTTCATTCTAATGTCCGTCCAAAATTATTATGTTGTATGTGATTTTTGTCGAATTTAATTGTGGTATGTGGTCAATATAGCTTACGCAACGATGTAGATCTATAAAACGGAGTACGAGTTACCCATTACCGGGGCACTATGAAAGCCTCTTGTTTCTCCACATATGTTTCATTTGTGCCAACTTACTACGATTTTACAATATAATGACTACAGATGAGAAATAAAATGTGCACCTTGTTAGTTGAAGTTTATTCGTTCATTTCCTTTCCAAGAAACCCAATGGGAAATTTGCTCACATCACTCACAGTCAGCCGCTCTGACATGGTTAACCACGTTCCTTGTGTTGTTGGTTAATTATATGAGTGGGATATACATACTTCATTTCATTTCATTTCATTTCATTTCATTTCATTTCATTTCATTTCATTTCATTTCATTTCATTTCATTTCATTTCATTTGTGTAATATGGTAAGCTGGTAGTTTAGTGTAGAATAGCCGTTGGATTTAGTGTAAGATTAGGTAGGATTAGTACATAATGGATTATGGATGGTTTTGCGGAGGAAGACACGTGTTAGTCAGGTTAGTTAGTTAGACTAGCAGGAACCCGTATAATATAACCCTAAACGGCGCGGTGTCAAGACTCAAGAGACTAAAATAATTATTACCTATTTAATTGGCGTTTTTGACACCACTTGGGGGTCCAAATTTTGGGCTCTAAAATCATTATTCCCTGGCCAATTGTTTATTTTTTACATGCTGATTTGAAGGCCATTAAAGCATTTGACCCAGTCAAAAAGGTTTCAGTTGTATATCTTTTACAGGTTTTGCAGAAAGTTGCGTTAAAGTTGATGCTTTGATGCCGTGGTGTCAGTAAAATGGCACAGATATATATCGTCTCGCTTTATATATAGTAAGATTAAGTTATTGGACAGACTGGGCCGCGCGGTGTCACGTGGCTTCTTAAATTCTTTATTATTATTTATTCTTATTGTATTTATTCTTATTGTATTGCTGTGTAAATTTGATTCTAATTCTAACGTGGTTCGCCATGTGATGCCACGTGACGCAGTGCTGGTAGTGCTCGCCTGCCCCACTAGAGTTAGTTCTTCGATTAGCATTTTAGGATCAGTTATAAAAAGTTACTGCTGCCGAGAACACTGTCGCGTGGCCGACGAGCCCCTAGTTTAGTTTATTGAACAAAATTATATATTTCACTTCCAGACTTATTGTTTGAATACTCTGTTTCCTTTGTACTTCCCTTACTTAGTATTCAAGTCACAGTCACTCGATCGAATTGAAAGTAATATTGTACCTAATTGTGTACAAGAGTTAGATTAGTTAGCGATACTTGTGTTATCGTATTATACGTCCAATCACAGCACGGATTGCTTGTAGAGGTTTGTGAATCTATTTGTGTACGGTACAAATTATCGTACATTCGTTATTCCCATTCGTACAATACTTGATACTTTCTACAACAATTTTAGTCAACATTTTGACTTAATTTATGATAGACTTAATTTGTCGTTTTTAAGGCATTTGACAGCTTGGATAGTCGGATCACGCCAAATTTTATTAAATTGTGTGTGGCCATTCGAATTACGTTTCTCCTGAAAAAAATGATAGTTGTAGCTTCTCAGATAACCGAGATACGAAGCATGACAAGTTTATTCATTATGTGTGATCAGGTAATTGGCTTACCTAATCAAGTGATAAGGTGACCCCGTTAGCAACCCTGTTAAACACTATGGGAATCGTTAAGGCTGCCCAATTAGGGTGTCATGTCATGGTGGACTCACATAATCACATTAGCAGTATCCCAGAGGGGTTTATAGCAGCATATCTGGAACAGGGACAGGGAAACTAGTCACAGTATAAGTTTATCGAATGAAAAGAACAGGACTAAAGGAATGAAAAATTGATCAAATCAAAATATAATTTCAAAGATATCTAAAATCTCATATGTATGTGTCTTCAGTTGGTCCCCTAATCTTCTAATCTTCTAATCTTCTAATCTAAATGTTTTCTTGTCCTCACACGCTCCAGACTTTATATATGTCTCTATTCACCTGAGTTATATTATATTTTGATTTATCTATGTGCAACGAATTCGATAATTTTTCACTAAAACTGTACAACATTATATTAATACAGCACTATATTAATACTGCTTCTTCTACGATTAAAGTAATTTTACACAATTTTAATTATGCTCGTAGCCAGTTTTTGAAAAAACTCGTTATGGTATATCACTGATACCACTGATTCTTAAAATCGATTTGATTATTCAAAAATCACCCACCTGAGTTACACAAGTTCTCCTTGCACGTTTCAATTTCACAGGCAAAATCCTTCACATTGTCGAGATACTCGTGAAATCTAGATTCTTTACCCTTACATTCAACCAAGTTTGAGTCCACATCTGCCTCGTTCATACAATAATAATCTTTCAAATAGCTGGACCTGTCATTCTCACCTTCAGTGAAGGTTATGGTATAAGATGAGCAAGCTTCCCCCTCCGGACACTGAGAAAGGACAATTTCATTATTTATCACCAATTTATCACACAATCAATCAGTAAATATACATTCGAATAAATAATGCCCATCTAAATTTTAGCCCCTAGATGGTAACATACTATTATAAATAGATTCGAGTGGAATAAATGCGTACGCTAACAGCTAGCTGGTTATACCTCTTGAACGCTGTCTGATTCACATTCATTTCGCTGATGTACAGAAATATTTATGTCTTTGCAATCGTAACAATTAAGTGATTGAGCTCGTGCCACCATTGCCAATATTATAACTGTTGCTATATTCATTTTAGCTTCTTCACTTTAGGCTACTGTAGATACATGGTTAATAAATATCAGTTTTGACAAATGCTGACTATGGGAGATGTGAAAAAAAACAGGATTAAAATTATAAAAATCAGGTGACAAAAATATTCTTCCCTACCTAAGATACAACCGATATATAACTTGGTACGTAACAAAATATGTTCGGCTCACAATGAATACGGAGGAGAAATAAAATGTGCACCTTGTTAGTTGAAGTATATTCGTTCATTTTCTTTCCAAGAAACTCATGGGACGGTGTCAAAAGACAGGGGAATAGGCAGTGTCTCATGCTGTACAACTATGTGTACAACCTGATTGAGACAATTGGTTACTACAAGTTGGTGTGTAGCTGACCAAAGATTCAATTGCCAGTTATAGTTAGTCATTAGCATAATTGTTGTGATTTGTACATACCAAAAATTTGCAAACAGTAACTTCAGGAAACTTAATTAATACCATAAGAAGTATTAAGCCATAGAATATCATATGGAATTGTGAGTTCAACGTTGCATTTTATCGACAAATTTCAGGGAAACTCTTAAATCGGTCAAATGTTTTGCACCTGAATTCGAAAATGTATGATTTAAGGTAAGGAGTGGCCTTCCCTCGTTTTCAAAGATATGTAACCGGTGTACGGAGCCCCATCTAAGTTGGGAAATTTCTCCCTAATTTTTGACACTAGTAGTTAGTACACAAGCTGGTAGTATGTATCTGACATTCCTGTTGAGTGTTGATGTCTGAACACGATATCATGTTGATGAACATTCTATAAGCACAGAATCTGTAATTCTTGTTTGTCAATTTCTTCTTCAAGAAATTCTCCTTTTTTACTGGATCGGGAATATTCATCGAATACAAGTATCTACCAAAATCCAGTCCTTCTTTGCTTACTACATTAAGGCCACAGGGGGGGGGTCCGAGGTCGATTTTGAGATTTTGAGATATGTTGTAGAGCTCGATCTAAATTTTCAAATGCTTTTGTCCTTACCGAAAACAAAGTTTCCTATTTGAAGATATCGCGCGTTGAATTTTGAGGTTTACCTGTAATTCTATTGTAAATGAAAACTTTAAATGAAATCGTGTTCAAAATCTATCTTCTTTTTCAGTTTATGACTTAGAACCTTGTAACTTGGCAACAATGTTCTTCAAGGTATTTTGAGTTTTTGTTATGTAACGATTTATGATATCTTGCTCCAAAGCTGAGATATGAGGTTAACCATGAGTGCGGGTTACAAAATTTAAAATGGTTAACCTCATAAAAAGAGTTAGGAGCAAAATTACAACAATCGTTACATAACAAACTTTTAAATTTATGTCAGGAACATAAGTTCCAAATTTGAGGTGAAATGGATAAAAACTCTAGGAGAAGATAGATTTTGAAGTCAAAAATTCGAGGTTTTCAGGAGAGGCAAAAAACTGTTTTTTATGTTATGTGATTTTTGAGAATTTTGCCTTTATTTGTATATTTTTCAAAGTTTAACTGCTGAAATAACACAAAAACAATAAAAACAAAGCTTATCGTAGTTTTCAGTTGTAATGGCATCAATATTTCTGCCCTCCATTATCGATTTATCAAAAAAATGAGGTTAAATGAGAATTGGTTAACCTCATTTATAAAAAAAAGTAAAATAGCTACAGACAAATGAGTGGTGGCAAAGTATCCACCACAAAAATATATATTGATTCAAAGCATAATGTTTTTTTGCATTTTTTGAGGCCTCGACCCCCCCCTGTGGCCTTAACGGTGAACATTTCAACAAGAATGATACATTTTTTCTCTCCCCTGTGAGGTGTTATGAAATGTGACTCGTGGCAGCAAACACTTTCCTGTTCTGAGGCCATTGTCACACAGCCACCACATGAACACCACTCATTGACGGGTTTGTTCAGTCGGTCCTGGTTGATGTTAGCGTAGAAAGTGTGGTGTAGCTCCTCTTGTTCTTCATCGTCATCACTTGAACGTATCCTGGAGGAATGAGGATCCACCCACTCCTCATCGCTCTCGAGATCTGATCCAGGTTTTAGGAATTAGGATAGGGTTGAAATGATCGGAGATCTCCTGGCGAGTATCGGAAGTAGTCTGAACAAATGAGCCACTATCTGAGTCACTGCTGGAGGTTAAATGTACAGTTTGCACCTCTACCTTTCTGATAATCATCATCAGGATCATAATCAGAGCCATGAGCCATCACTTGCACTACAGTCATCAGAGTCAGACTCAAAATCTGACTCATATAAGTCAGGGTACCAATGATCAGATGAATCCGAGCTGAGTGTGGTTCATTGATTATTTCGCTGCTTAATGAAGCTGTTACAATATCATCCTTCATAACGGCTTCAGGTGCATCAATTACGGGCGACTCAACTGATTCCATCGATGTGCTGGGAGCATACAAATCGTCAGTTTGCAATTCTGGGGCAGTATAAGGAAATGCAGCAGTGTCAATTGATGAGCTAAATTCATCCATCTCATTAAGTACCCGCCTAGTTAATCGTGCTCTCTTACTTCGGGCTGGATGTGAAGGTACCTCTCCTTCGTGAACCTGACCATTGAGATAGAGCTGCAATTCATCTTTGTCGGAATGTGTGTTTGGAATTGCTTCAGGCTTCAGACGCATCTTCATTCTTTTTTATACCCGAGCAATTTCATCACATTGAAATCACTTGGGTCATAATCAGAATCGTGGAAGTGATCAGAGCAAACATAGTAAGTACTCATTTTGCTTTCGCACACGTGACTCGGCTGTCTGTTGACCCGAACATCCCATTTTTGCCTGGTTTGCTTATCTCTTGGTGCCTTGTGCATGATCAGAAACTGTCTGTCAGGCCGTTGAGAGGCTTGTCCAACCTGGTGAGTACACCCTCCCACTACACATGACGATGGCATAGTGTCCAATTACGCAGTAAATAAGGCGGTCGTCGACGTTCACTTACAAACTTAGCTTTAGATAAGATGTGAGAAATCGTGTAATTGAAGCAACTTACAATTCAAAGTTACTGAATCAGTGTAATTGAGTAATGGAGCTTTTGAAAATGACAAATTTCATTTCAATTCTGGAGAAGCCAAATAAAGTAATTTAAAGCACGTTTTCAAAGCTTTTGAACAGTTAGAAGCAGAACAAATTGTGCCTTTAACAAAAATTAATAAAATCTTACCAGCCATAAACTTAACTAACAGTGAAATGCGTAAAAGTGCAATAATATTAATTAATTGACATCGGTCAAGATAAAAAATAGACTATGGTAATCAACGCTGTGTCGGTTTCTACTTTCGTACTTTTTTTTTTTATCTAGACACTTATTTTACTTCGGTGTATTCCAACAGCCACAATGTTACACAAGTGCAACCAGCCAATTACAGGAAGCCGAAGGATCTTTTTGGCCAGTGACGGTTAAGGTAGTGTGTACCATACTTTCTTCGTCCGAGACTTTGCTGCAATGTGCAGCTCCTCATTTAACCCTCACACCCGATTTCTCGAGTATTCGGCTGAGTAGACCGGGGGGCTGCATAGACCACTCATGATCCTTAGCTGAACGTCGACGACGCTCACCCCACGACCAGGCAGTCAGTGGGTTTCGAACTCGCAACCTAACGATTGTAAGACAGGCGTTCTAACCAACTGCGCTACCTGGTCGCTAAAAGTGCAATAATATTAATTAATTGACATCGGTCAAGATAAAAAATAGACTATGGTAATCAACGCTGTGTCGGTTTCTACTTTCGTACTATCTTACTAAGCAATGAGAAATCACAGAACGAATAAAAATTCTAGCTGTTTATGCCTGTAAACTGGTTATTATAATTTTTGTTATTTAGCACTATTTGAGTATATACCGTTTTTTTTACAATAAAAAATGCAACAGAAAACCTTAAACTCGAGCATGAAGCGAAAGCGCCAAACAAAACAGTAAAACGTGAGTGCGTAGAAGGAGCAAATAGTGGAAAGGAATTACAGTGCTTTGATACTGCAGTGTGACGGGAATCCTTCCGGTGATGATTTCAACGAAATGTTTGGAGGGGTCTAATTAGTTTAGCATAATATCTCGTCCCATAAGGACGCTTGCACGCAGTTCAAAATGCTTTGATCTCGCCCGTAAGTGGTAAATTAATTCAAAATACGTATAGTGATTTTCAAATCACAACGATCACTTTATTAAGCGGGCAGATTGGACACTATATTGCTGCCCCAGGTAACTCGTACTACGTTTTATAGATCTAGACTGTAGAGTACGTTATATTGACCACAGACCACATTTGGGTTAGTCAGTTAGTCACATACTACAACAAAAATAGTACTAGGAACCGACTACTGGAAACGGTCGGATATCATTTTATTCTCCTGTAGGAAACAGGAAATTACAATTTTATTAAAAAAAGATTAAAGTTTCCTACCGCTGGTTGCTATAATACAAACCTATTGACTGGCTGTACCCTTACCATTTAAAGTAAATATTGCCTGATGTCGATCTGAGTGTTACAGAAGTGAGAAGTTTATATTATTGCCAGTATAAAGGGGACTGCTATCTTGATTTAATAATTATAACAATAATTTCCATTGTATTCTTCCAACTATGAATTGACTTCATTGAACTCATTTGGCAAGTTGTAAGTTCCTGATCAACATTCAACAGCTGTAATAAATTAATTTGCTATGCACATGTTATTGTTTCTCTTGATCTTTTTTCTTAAGTTCGGATGCTGTCATTATCGTCTCTTGTAGGTCTCACCTTCATTACACTAGGGCAACAGTATAAGTAGTCTGAAATTTGTGCTATAATCTACATTGGAGTGTACTGAAAACCCATTTAACTAAAAGTTACCCTAGAACTATCAATGGATCTCTCCCTGGAAGATGTGAAAGAGTTGACCGATCCTAATAAGATACAAGAGATATTTCTCAAACTTCGTGAACAGGAGGTACTGTCTTTATCATCATCTCCATTTGAATTTATTTGTTAAACCATCACTTTCTAGTGTCCATTGTTCTAGCTTTCTAGTGTACAAAATTGTTACATTTCAAAGTTTTTAGGATGATATTTTTGATGAACAAATTTCAGGAAAATGTCACAAAAGATCTTGATAGGCTGCTAAAGAATCAAGCTCACCTTGAAACTAAAATGAAGAATCTCAATCAGATATTGTGAGTTTTTATTGTTTTCGTTACTTTTTCGAATAGTCACACCTAGTATCTTGGGCTTTGCCGTTCAAATCTTAAATTATTTTGGTGGATAGCAAAAATTATTCATTATTTTTGTGAGAATATAAACTAAAATTATTCCTTGTAGGCCTCAGGTAGCTTCAATTGAGATAGGTTGTCAGTCCCTCCATGATAAAATACACAGCACCAACCTATTAGCTGAAAACGTCAGTCGCAAAGTGAGGCAGCTTGATATGGCAAAGGTAATTTATTCAAGATTGGGAAATACTTAACATTTCCTGTCAGAGAATATGTAGGAGATGAGGATCAGTGGGGTTATATAAATAAAATAACTTATATACCTATATTATATATATTATATATTATATATCGTCTCACTTTATATATAGTAAGATTACATTCGAGCTGTGAAATATATTCCCTTCTCTAGGAGTATAGAGTATAGCAGTCAAGTAAACACTCCTAGCTGATAAGAATGTTCTTCAGGGCCATGTTGATAGCTGCATACAACGAGTTAACGACATCATCAATCTTACGAAGTGTGTTGAGGGAGTACAAGAAACCATGGCTTCAGATAACTATGAAACTGCTGCCTCCCATATTTCCACATACCTTCAGATAGATAAGAAGCTGATCAGCAACATTGACGATGATGTTGATGGATCGTTTGCTGTGCTAAAAGATGCAGAACTAAGGTTCATTAACAACCTCAATAATCGGTTTGATACCGCTGTGAAGGAAAATGATGAAAAAGGAGTGGAAAGATTTGCCAGACTTTATCCTTTAGTGGGGAGAAAAGAGGATGGTTTGTCAAAATATAGCAAGTTCCTGGCAAGCAAGGTAGCAAGCAAGGGACAGTTTCATCTGACGAATGCTCTTAAGACCTCGAAAGATGGTAAATTGAAGTTTTAAATTTATTATTCATTTTGTAACAATTCAAATTCGATGGGTGTTATTTCTAATTTTTTACGATTAGATTGAAATTTGCACTAATAATAGCTAACTCCTCATATCCTAAACATTTGTGTCGCAAATCATGCTGCTCTATCATACCAAAGTGCAATAATCGCCTTTTAATCAGATAAGAGATGGGGAGTGATGTTTGCTGATACCCTGACAAGACTATTTGAGGACACTGCCCGGATAGTTGAGGATTGTCAGCTGGTTATTGACTCTGCTTACGGAGGTGACTGCATGTTCCAGGTGCTATCGCCCGTACAGGAGGAGTGTATCAGACAAGCGCGGAGCACTTTAAGCAACTTCCTACAGACACGCAACGTTATTGATATAAGTTGTGTGGTGAACAGTAAGACCAGTGGGTTGCAGGGTAACAAGGAACAACCCCAACTGGATCAGATACTGGAGGAAATGGTCATTATGAACAGCAGAGCTGAGCTTTACACCAACTTTATCAAACGAAAAATACAGGTACTTGTTGAATGTCGAAGACTAGAAAAATAGTGTGCACTGCAGTGCAGTTTATTTCACTTAGCTTAAAATTTAAGTATTACATAATTATATTTCAGAACTTCAAAAAAGTGTTAAATGATGTATTAAATAACTCACACCATTGCAGCAGGATGACACAGAGAACAATAATTGGGAGGGTATTCGTGGTATGAACGCTTTGCAGCAGGAAGCTATGGGTCACTACATTCTTCTAGAAACTCACTTTATCAAGCAGAGCATTCTTAAGGTGCGTAGCTCCAGGGCCTTATCACGACTACAGATTGTTAACCGAAACAGCACTGACACCTGAAAATACCAACTAAGAACCACAGAATATTATGATTTTTATGATATAAAGTTTTTTTATCAGCATCAAATATATTGATTATTTTAAACAGGCAGCATCATTAGAGACAAGAAACAAGAAGTCTCTAGTGTCGAGTTTAGTGGACGACTCTTGTTATCTTATCCAGAAGAGCGTTAACAGAGCCATCAGTTCCCGAAGTATAGATACTGCGTGTGCTATGATCAATAATGCTGCGTAAGTTACAAATTCAACTATCTCTAGAGTTTCCTTCATTTTAGCTGTATGTATAATGTATAATGTATATTGTATATTTACCCATCAAGAGAATTTAGCAATTTTAACTGGTCATTATAAGCCATATCTCAGGTCAAGTCTATCATTAGAAGTTTGTAATGAGCTGATGTTTGTAGTAAAGAACGGCTATCCTAACGCTCTGAGTTACTCCTGGCAGCAGGGGAGTGATGAACAAGTTCTTGAGCAGAAGGAGAAGTTTCTAACTGCCACCAATAACTTGCACGCTACTGCAGATAATGTCAACAAACTCAAGCGGGGGTTTGAGGTGAGAAACTGTTCACTAAATAATAGTCGTCCTAGTGGTCGGTATTTAGCCTGGCTTACTTGAAGTTGATTGTTGGCAGTAAGTTGACCTAAATTTTTTGACTTAAAGTTGATTGTTGACTGTTGGTCGGCTTGAATTATAATTAACTTGATAAATTCCAAACAGATGAAGTGTGAAAAGAGTTATGGTTCCGACACTGCGGCTCTTGAGAAGCTGATGAGTTGTATTTCTGGTTTTAGTGACGTCACTTCTGACTTCAGGGAGGTGAGATTAGTGTAGTGGTCACGTGTAGTGGTCACGTGTAGTGGTCACGTGTAGTGGTCACGTGTAGTGGTCACGTGTAGTGGTCACGTGTAGTGGTCACGTGTAGTGGTCACGTGTAGTGGTCACGTGTAGTGGTCACGTGTAGTGGTCACGTGTAGTGGTCACGTGTACTGTGTAGTGGTCACGTGTAGTGGTCACGTGGTCAGTGGTCAAAACTCAGCTAATTTTGATTTTTTTTTGTTGGGGACTGGCCCGTGGTACCAGCCAATGTTTACTCAAAAATATATAATATAATATCAATGGTAATAAGAAATTCATCCCCGTGGGGCACATGCATAAATATAAAATATTTCAGACTTTATTTTCTAATGGTTAATAGGTAAAGATTAAAAACAGTAAAACAAGACTGAGCACTTCAAAATTTGTAGAATTTGTAACTTGATTTGAAATACGCGGCGATAAAAAAGAATGTCCAATGTTGGCAGTGTAAATGATGAGATATGCGACGTTTATAATGATAAGTGGGAGCTATTCTTTTATTCAAACTTCAACCAAGAAATAATCTTTGTTGTAAAGTTCTGGAAAGTTCCTGCTTATGTTGTGATTTAACTAACTAACTAACTTTTACTAACTAAATAACTAAATTTTGTGATTTAGGGGTTGAAACGGGCTGAGCAGACACTGTGTAAAGCTGCTGTCTTTCCTAAAATCCACCCTGTTATTGCTGAGTTTGCTAGCAGCAGTCACATCATCACAGAGGTAATTAGTTAATTATTTAATTAATTAATTAGATGTAATTAGTTTAAATTGTACATACTGTTTTACAGGAATCGACCGGACATGATTTCAGGCCTGACCGGGACCGGGACCGGGACCAAGAATCCTGAATTAACCGGGACCGGGACCGGGATCATAAATCAGCATTTGACCGGGACCGGGACCGGGATGAAAAATGTGACTTGACCGGGACCGGGACCGGGATAGCTCAAAATTGCCAATCCCGGTACCAGGATTCCCGGTACCGGCAATTCCTGTCGATTACTGGTTAATTCATGATCATAATTTATTACTCAAACTTGTTTAGCAATTTTAAACATTGTTTTATTTGGCTCAGAGGATGTTTAAAGATGAAATTCACAATGAATGAAAGGAAAAACTTAAAATCACAGTGAATGAAATTATGTAAAAGATCCCGGTCAAAATCCCGGCAAATTTGAGTGATTGACCGGGACCGGGACCGGGACCAAGAATCCCGAATTAACCGGGACCGGGATCATAAATCAGCATTTGACCGGGACCGGGATAGCTCAAAATTGCCAATCCCGGTACCGGGATTCCCGGTACCGGGAATCCCGGTCGATTCCTGCTGTTTTATTTACGTGTTATCAATATAATATATAAATTTACACTATGTGGTTGGGACATTTTGCATAGTAAATATGGTTACTACTCATATACATCATATTATTTGATTGGTATTCGATTTCTGATTATTTCTTAGGAATATGATTATTATCCCTTATTATATCTCAATTTGGCTTTAGGTAGGGTGCCCCGCTAAAAGAACTGGATTCTTCCAGGAAGCATCCCGTGCACAGACCTTGGTCTACATATATATTAAATTATTAACCATTCATTCTGTATGTGCACGAAAATTTATTTCAATCAATCAATATTCACATATCATCTACATTCTACAAACCATATCCTTGTAAAAAAACTCATTTTTCTCTTACATTAAAAATGTTCAGTAACGTTTATTATTAACTTTGTATTAACTCTCAATTATCCAATTGTTTATCTTGATAGGATCAACTGTACATGTTGGAAGTAGAAGACCCCTGGTTACAAGAAATAGTGAAGGTGGTTGATGAGGTCATATTGCCCCTCAAGCAGCTCCTACATCAGTCTATATACGACAGTGTCCTGAAGATTTCTATAACTGAGGTATTGTCTTTATTCTTAACATAGACTTGAAATAAATGTTTCCATATGTTTAGAAACACGGCCACTAATTAGTGGTCAGTTGATCCAACAGTATACACTATACATTCTTGTTAATACTCCAGTAGCAGGGTGTCGTTGAGTGTGCACTACGATGTACAGAGTTTTTTGCTACTGAATTGGGTTAAATAGGTCATTGGTAACTCAAATCACTTAGGTGCGCATGCTGTGTAGCTAGTCCCAACCCTGTGGGGATTTCACTGGAGTGTGATTAAAAAACCTACTCTTCTAAGCTAAGTGAAATCGAGTATGCATTTCGGTGTCTACTACTTTTCTATACACAGGGTTCTTTTTAAGGTCATTCTGGTTCAGTATTGATGAGGTACGCAATTTTATCAGTAGTTCCAACGGGGTTCCAACCCTAGTAGCCCTAAATTACCCCAGGCGCAAATAAATGAATTTTGTATTTCGGCCTCTGAACGTTGTAGGAGCCTCTCTTTTAGCTCAAACTAACTGCAATGGCCATATTATTTAATTACAAGCTATAAATCAACATAGGGTCTATAGTGCTTAGTTTTAGAGATATTCATTATGTTTTACCTTCGCTCAGTGGCGAAACGTACCGGTTTTGCCGAATATCTAGATGAATACGGATATCCGGATGAATACAGGAATACGGTTCCGGCCGGATATACGGCTTAATATCCGGTTCCGGCCTGGTTTAGGTTGCGTGGCCGCATATCAACTGAGTGTACACTCAACTACACCCTGCTACTGGAGTAAATACATTAGCAGATTGAAATTGAGTCACTTTAGTCACTTTATCTTGTACACAAAATGAAAGAGACTTAGCGGAGAAACGAGGGCCGGGCTTTCATGGTGCCCCAGTAACTCGTACTCCGTTTTACAGATCTATATTATAGTACGCTTAGCTGTATATTGACCACATTTGATATAATCACATACGACTAGGAACTCAGGAACCGAGTACCTGTCTAGGGATTTGGCTGCATGACTGGAATCGGTCAGATATCAATCAATCTTCCTTTTTTCAGACCGGAACCGAGTGGCAAACAGGAGAATTAAAATCTTACTGAAAAGTTTTAAGATTTCCGACCGCTTGGTGCTAAATCTCAGAAAATTAAAAAATTGTATCCTAACAGTTTTGAAATTTCCAATTTCGTGCACTTCATGCCATTAGACCCTGTAATCTTATGCTAAGGACCCGGCATATAGACTTTTTAACCGGATCAGATCTCGATACATGCTTTTAGGTCTAAAGATCAGACTGTGACCAATTTAACCCAATTCAGTAGCAAAAAACTCTGTACATCGTAGTGTACACTCAACTACACCCTGCTACTGGAGTATTTTGGTTTGGTTTGGTTTGGTTTGGTTTCAAGAGCTTATACTTGCCACGTATGTCCAGGTTCATTATAATAATGCAGGACTTCTAGGCAATGAGCTTGGTTGTGGGACACACTCAACTAGGGAAGTTGAGAGGCCTCAATCAAGTCTCATTAAAGAGATATCAACAGAGTGTGAACCACTGCTACTGGAGTAAATACATTAGCAGATTGAAATTGAGTCACTTTAGTCACTTTATCTTGTACACAAAATGAAAGAGACTTAGCGGAGAAACGAGGGCCGGGCTTTCATGGTGCCCCAGTAACTCGTACTCCGTTTTATAGATCTATATTATAGCGTACGCTTAGCTGTATATTGACCACATTTGATATAATCACATACGACTAGGAACTCAGGAACCGAGTACCTGTCTAGGGATTTGGCTGCAGGACTGGAATCGGTCAGATATCAATCAATCTTCCTTTTTTCAGACCGGAACCGAGTGGCAAACAGGAGAATTAAAATCTTACTGAAAATTTTAAGATTTCCGACCGCTTGGTGCTAAATCTCAGAAAATTTAAAAATTGTATCCTAACAGTTTTGAAATTTCCGATTTCGTGCACTTCATGCCATTAGACCCTGTGATCCTATGGCTATGCTAAGGACCCGATATAGGAGTGTGTATTTTGGGCCTTCATACCCTTCACAGTGCTAATATAAACATGTGTATTGCTGAGATACAAATTTCACATATACGCGCCTAATATGAAATATGGGCGTGGTCCCACAGGGTTGGGACTAGCGAAACAACATGTGCACCTAAGTGATTTGAGTTACCGATGACCTATATAACCAAATTCAATAGCAAAAAACTCTGTATATCGTAGTGCACACTCAACTACACCCTGCTACTGGAGTATTAACAAGAATGTATAGTGTATACTGTTGGATCAACTGACCATAAACTTTGGATCACTGAATCAATGACCACTACAATGATTCCAACTTCAATAAGTGGATTTTAGTAGAAAATAATTCTTGATGTTTCAGATGACGGAGTATTTAGAGAAACTAGCTCTGACTTGCTCTTACAATCAACTGGGAGGATTACTTCTTGATAAGAGATTGAGATCCTTAGTTACCTTCCTCTCTGGGATTACACAGTGGAGTGTGAGTTAATTAGTTAATTATTTAATTAGTTGATCAGATAATTATTTAATTAGTTAATTATATCAGTGATAGGTATCCAGATACGTGACATTTTCGTGATGCTATGAGTCAATAACTACACCGTCGTTCATTATGCTTCGTCTCATTTGTTAATCAAAGGTACTAAAAGCTAACTAGATAACGTATTAAAATCTAATAATATTACATAGTTATACTGCTAGCAGCATGACTAGTATATGCATCATATTTAATTCCAAATTATCCCAGATTCGTGATAAGTTCGCGAGGTTAACCCAGATTTGCCTGATTCTATCTGTTGAGCGCTTGTCTGAGGTAGAAGAGTACACTTCCAGTTCTGCTAAATGTTGTTTGAGTATCACTGAAATTAAACAATGCCTCAGGCTTAGAAACGATTTTAAGAAAGATGACATCAACAATATTGTTTGTGATTAGGTTATCACTCGGGGACAGATAAGATTTGGTACTTAAACTTTTGCTTTGGTATTTTTGCATGGAATAAAATGTCTAAATTTGTTTTGTTTTTCTTTTCTTTGACCAGTTTATGTTTGAGATGTAATTTTCACTAAATAGTAGATTATTTAACGAACCACGCTGCATTTCTTCAAATCTTTCATGATGAATATTCTTATTCAAAGTAAAACTGTAAATTAACAAAAGTGTAAAAGGTCGCGATATCGCAATTCAGAAATTTCTCTCCTAATGTAAATATTAATAGTTAATACATTCAAATATTTTCAATAAATAACGCAATATTTACTAGCTATGTTCTGTGTTAGAAAGACAGGTTTATTACGTATGTGTGCTTCCCAAGCCTCACGCTCTCTTAATTCCAGTTAGTGTTGTTTACTTTAATTGATAAAGTTATTACAATCTACTATAGTAATACCTACTATTGATAATTTGATCGCTAATTTGATCACTTAAATGAAGGAATTGTGATCTTACTTTATACTAAAGCCAGTACTTTGCCAGTATATTAGCCAGTATTTTGCTAACGCCAGTATTTTGCCAGTATATTAGCCAGTATAATGCTAACGCCAGTATTTTGCCAGTATATTAGCCAGTCAGTGGCGTAACGAAGGGCCCCGCTGACCCCGCTGTGCAGGGGGGCGCCGTCTTAGGGGGGCGCCAAATCGTCGTTTGAATGTGGGACAATTTCGAAAACTTAACTAAAGTACTAGCAAAACTGCGCGTTTTGCTCTAGATACACACTTTTTTAGAGATTTTAACAGCGCATCCTCTAAAATCACCTAATTTGTTCAATTTTAGGGAGGGGCATCAAAAGGGGAGGGGGCGCCAACAGGGGGGCGCCTTTTCGGCAGGGGGGCGCCAACAGGCAACGTTACGCCACTGTAGCCAGTATTATGCTAACGCCAGTATTTTCAGGGGAACGGTTTCTAAAAGGCGAAGCAGTGAACTCAAGCCAGTACGGGCCTCTGAAAGACGGCCCTGATGTTACAATAGTCAGTAGTAAAACTGGAGGGGTACCTGACTCAGCTCCGCTATCTCGAAGAAAACAAGAACACGTTAGTTTAGTAAAATAGGAATTAAATGAAAGTTTACTGATATCAATATATTTGCAGCAAATTTAATTTACACATTCCTTTTAGCTATAGCAAGTGCCCTTAACGAATCCGTTTATTTAGATGTACCTAACAGAACATCGACATCAAATGTGTTACAAGCAAAAAGTAAACCTTGTGTGCTCTACTTGTTGTCAAATAACAAATTTCATAAACCGACTCACAGGCATTACCTCAGGTCGATAAAGAGTGGGCGATTCAAGAAAAGATAGAAGAATATCTGGACCTAATGAATGAAGTTTCACAGATGAATCAAAGTGAAGATAAAGGGAAACCAGCGGAAAGTTTATCACAAGAATCTGAGAACATCCCATGACAGCGATATTTAGTCTGGATTTAGCCTCGCATGTTTGGAGTTGATGAATCCAGATTTTTGGAACATTTTTGGAACATTTTTGGAACATGTCCCAAAATTGTCCCAAAAGTGTCCCATGCATTTATTTGCCCTAATAAGCTCTAAATAGTGCCAAAAATAATTGTAAATGATGGATATAGTTGCAAGCTAGGTCTAGGGGCCATCGAAAGTAGCATAAAATTACCCAGGTTCATGGAATGAACGAAAATGAACAAAAATGAATATTGTCCTAAAAATGCTCAGAACGGTTTAAAATTGGTCGGAAAGTGTTTATATTAGTCCTAGGACCACTCAAACCAAGTTTGGGAATCACTGCATGTCTAGAACCGATGTTACCAATGTTCCAAAATGTTCCAATTTTGGGACAATAATCCTCCTGAGAATCCAGATTTTTGGAACATGGGCACATCGAAGTATTGGCTGTATTTAAGTGCTGGGAAGCCTCAATTCGGTTTTCTAAGATGGATATAGGTAAAAACTAGGCCTAAGAGCCATCAAAACTCAAATAACATCACCCAGGTTCATGGAATGAACGAAAATGAACAAAAATGAATATTGTCCTAAAAATGCTCAGAACGGTTTAAAATTGGTCGGAAAGTGTTTATATTGGTCCTAGGACTACTCAAACCAAGTTTGAGAATCACTGCATGTCTAGAACCGATGTTACCAATGTTCCAAAATGTTCCAATTTTGGGACAATAATCCTCCTGAAAATCCAGATTTTTGGAACATGGGCACATCGAAGTATTGGCTGTATTTAAGTGCTGGGAAGCCTCAATTCGGTTTTTTAAGATGGATATAGGTAAAAACTAGGCCTAAGAGCCATCAAAACTCAAATAACATTACCCAGGCCAGGTTCATGGAATGAACGAAAATGAACAAAAATGAATATTGTCCTAAAAATGCTCAGAACGGTTTAAAATTGGTCGGAAAGTGTTTATATTAGTCCTAGGACCACTCAAACCAAGTTTGGGAATCACTGCATGTCTAGAACCGATGTTACCAATGTTCCAAAATGTTCCAATTTTGGGACAATAATCCTCCTGAGAATCCAGATCTTTGGAACATGGGCACATCGAAGTATTGGCTGTATTTAAGTGCTGGGAAGCCTCAATTCGGTTTTATAAGATGGATGCAGGTAAAAACTAGGCCTTAGAGCCATCAAAACTCAAATAACATTACCCAGGTTCATGGAATGAACGAAAATGAACAAAAATGAATATTGTCCTAAAAATGCTCAGAACGGTTTAAAATTGGTCGGAAAGTTTGGGAATCACTTCATGTCTAGACCCGATGTTACCAATGTTGTCACAATAATCCTCCTGAGCATCCAGATTTTTGGAACATGGGGACATCGAAGAGCTGGGAAGCCTCAATTCGGTTTTCTAAGATGGATATAAAAAAACTAGGCCTAGAGGAGCCATCAAAAGTCGAATAATATTACCCAAGTTTATAGAATGAACAACGAACATGAAAATTTTCCTCAAAGCGCTCAGAATGGTTAAAAAATGGTGGCAAAGAGTCAATATTTTCATCCAACAGGGTCTTAAAGTTGCAATCAGAATTATGTACAATTAGACAGAAATTATTTTATTGGGCAAATATTTTGGTTTTAATAATCCTCCAATATTTTGATATAAATTTTTGACATCACTAGCTGTATTTGAGTGTGCTTTGTATTTTGAAAACAAAGATAACAGTCATTTAGTAAACAGCAAATTAAATTCTACGTTTATTATCTAGTAAAAATACTGTATGTTATAAAATACTGTATATTATAAAATCTGTATATAAAAATAAACTACTCAATTACTCTACAGTAAGACTTCTTTATACAGACCGTTTTAACGGACCAGGTGGAGATGAAAATGGATTTTGTCGTTGTGTCGGGGTTCAGTCTTCGTCTTTTTGTCAATTTTAAACCGTTCTGAGCATTTTTAGGACAATATTCATTTTTGTTCATTTTCGTTCATTCCATGAACCTGGGTAATGTTATTTGAGTTTTGATGGCTCTAAGGCCTAGTTTTTACCTATATCCATCTTAAAAAACCGAATTGAGGCTTCCCAGCACTTAAATACAGCCAATACTTCGATGTGCCCATGTTCCAAAGATCTGGATTCTCAGAAGGATTATTGTCCCAAAATTGGAACATTTTGGAACATTGGTAACATCGGTTCTAGACATGCAGTGATTCCCAAACTTGGTTTGAGTGGTCCTAGGACTAATATAAACACTTTCCGACCAATTTTAAACCGTTCTGAGCATTTTTAGGACAATATTCATTTTTGTTCATTTTCGTTCATTCCATGAACCTGGGTAATGTTATTTGAGTTTTGATGGCTCTTAGGCCTAGTTTTTACCTATATCCATCTTAGAAAACCGAATTGAGGCTTCCCAGCACTTAAATACAGCCAATACTTCGATGTGCCCATGTTCCAAAAATCTGGATTCTCAGGAGGATTATTGTCCCAAAATTGGAACATTTTGGAACATATGTAACATCGGTTCTAGACATGCAGTGATTCCCAAACTTGGTTTGGGTGGTCCTAGAACCAATATAAACACTTTCCGACCAATTTTAAACCGTTCTGAGCATTTTTAGGACAATATTCATTTTTGTTCATTTTCGTTCATTCCATGAACCTGGGTAATGTTATTTAAGTTTTGATGGCTCTAAGGCCTAGTTTTTACCTGCATCCATCTTATAAAACCGAATTGAGGCTTCCCAGCACTTAAATACAGCCAATACTTCGATGTGCCCATGTTCCAAAGATCTGGATTCTCAGGAGGATTATTGTCCCAAAATTGGAACATTTTGGAACATATGTAACATCGGTTCTAGACATGCAGTGATTCCCAAACTTGGTTTGGGTGGTCCTAGAACCAATATAAACACTTTCCGACCAATTTTAAACCGTTCTGAGCATTTTTAGGACAATATTCATTTTTGTTCATTTTCGTTCATTCCATGAACATGGGTAATGTTATTTGAGTTTTGATGGCTCTTAGGCCTAGTTTTTACCTATATCCATCTTAGAAAACCGAATTGAGGCTTCCCAGCACTTAAATACAGCCAATACTTCGATGTGCCCATGTTCCAAAAATCTGGATTCTCAGGAGGATTATTGTCCCAAAATTGGAACATTTTGGAACATATGTAACATCGGTTCTAGACATGCAGTGATTCCCAAACTTGGTTTGAGTGGTCCTAGGACCAATGTGAACACTTTCCGACCCATTTTAAACCATTCGGAGCACTTTGAGAAGAATGTTCATTTTCGTTCATTTCTGGTCATTCCATGGGTAATTTTATACGACTTTTGATGGCTCCTAGGCCTAGCTTACGGCTATATCCATCTTAGAAAACCGAACTGAGCCTTCCCAGCACTCAAATACGGCCAATACTGTGATGTGCCCATGTTCCAAATTTATGGATTCATCTACTGCATGTTTGTAAGGCGCGAGGACTTTCTTATGAGAAATGTACTGCCGGCATTGATTTCAAAGTGAACGTATTTGAGCCGCGCACGACTTTCCACCCCAAGAAGTTGAGTGATTAGTTGACTGGCGTTTGAGCGAGTTTAGAGCAGTCAAGATTTGAGTTCTTCAGTTCATCAACATAACAGACCTTTATTTACCTTTTCCTCCGTCGAGATGAATAAGAATGTCGCTTGCGTACCTTTCTAGTCTCATACACACTTCTGAAATAATATCTTGAATGATACCGTGTTTGTTACATTTTATATCATGTTGTATTGTTTCTAAACTGACAATTTTCTGTTTCACGTCTAAACATCGGATTACAAAATTCCACAACTATCAAAGTTCTTGAAAAACATTCTCCTCACCTGACAAAACCTCCAAACTTCGCACAAGACTGACAAACTGACTGGCAAACTGACTGACTGACACTATTACAAACCTGGCAGTTCGATGACTTCCCGTGATGACTCCTCGTAATCGGCGGCAAATTCCTGTGTCAGTGTGCTGATCTCCTTGCAAACCTCTAGCATATCTCTTGCTGAAACGGAACTTAAGTAAGACTACTCAGTATTAGGTGGAATATGATATTACAACAACCACATTCTTTCCAACCTTCGTGGCCTAATTTTACCTTCACTTATCATCTTATCAAACAACTTCGCTGTTTTCTCGTCCTGTTTTTTACGACTGTCAGAACTATCAGCTGTCTTCCCGTTCGCAAAGTTCCTAAGACCAGTTCTTCTTGGAGATATTGTTTCTGAGATCTTCTTTGCTTCATCTGCCACCTGGACTGCCGTCATGACTGACCTGCCTCTTCTCAATTTTCTTTCCGCAGATTTTCTAGCTGTCTCCATATCACACAAGTTGGAAGCTAGAACGCTAAAAAACAAACGAAACTTCTTCTCAAAGTGATATCCTCCTAACATAGCGCTGTAGTTCAGACGAGCTATAAATATAGTCTTAGATAATTTTCCCATATTTCCTACCCACCGATAATTTAACAAGCACACACGCAGACACTATATGAACGTTAGAATAGACACCAATTATTACATGTGACCAATTACCCTCGTGTCTGCCGTCTAGGGATAGTTAATATGGCATGTGTCTGATAAGAGGACGAGGAATGTTCTAGTATTCGGACTTGAGTTTTCGAATCTTTAAGTATACGATACTCGTTAATTGAGGAAATTTGTTGTTAGTTAAAATGTATCAGTACCACACTGATAGAGTAATAAACTGACTTCCCTATCCGCCAACGATAAGATAAAAATAGAGAAACCGATATATACGACATCATATGTACAAAACTCACAATAAATATCAATTTTCTTACCTTGGTCGAGTTCCCGGAGGTAGTGTTTGGGACTGTGGCAACTCCTCGTGCTTCGTAATGGAGGAATCTCGAAAGAGGTCCTGCTACTAGTAGAGTGACTCAAACTTCGAGTTCGTCTCAGCTCCAATTTCCTCCAGTCTGTTGGTGTTCTCTGAGTCGTGGTTCTGGAGCTCGTCACAGTAGAGCTAATATTACTGGTCACACTGGTCAGGGAATTAGATCTGGTTTGAGTTGGGCTTGTACTATCTTCCTCGATAGAAGCTTGTCTCTGGGTGGTCGCCAAGGATAACGATCTCTTCCTGATATTGTCCCGAACTTTTTGAAACTCAGCGAGTTCTCTTTTCTCGTAAAGCGGCATGCTCTGACTCCGGTTGAACCTTTTAAGTTTTAAATTTTCCAAGGTTACGACAGACATGACAGAAAGTTTAATCTAAAAACAACAGTCGACACCAAACTATGATTAGCCGAATAACTTGACCTCTTGGCGGAGAGAGTAAATATGCAGTCGAGCAGGTCGGACCTAGAGCCAGCTACAATTTAGCCTACTTGACCGGCTTCGTTTATCAGAGATCACAGCTACTACACGTCGTACTTGACAATAGGATCGGAGACAAAGCCAGTATGATATCAACTGTAAAAGTATAATGACCCGGCCCTACTTCAGTGTGTTTTGTGTGTGTCATAATCGCAGACAATACTCAACATCAGATTTTAAACGGGCTTACTGGCTTAGTTTTGAGTTTTGGCATGATCTCGTATTAGACCAAATTAGGAATAATTTATTCTTAAAACTCATCTTTAATAATAGAACTTAATCTGGTGTTTGGGATGGTATAGGACACGAGGGCGGAGGACACAAGAGCGGTAGACACAAGCGGAGGACACGAGGTGTGTTATATCACAAGAGCGGTACTTTCCTGAAGTGTGATAAACCCTCGTGTTCACACTTTTTGGAAAGTACCACCTTGTGTCCTACGCCCTCGTGTCTTCCACCCTTGTGTCCACCACTCTTGTGACCTCCGCCCTCGCGTCCGATTCACGTTTGAGAATAGGAATAATGAATATGCATCTCCATTTTCCAACTGCCAAATAGATACTGATAAGGGATACATGCAATGTACAGCAAAACAATTGAAACCAGGCAAATAGTGGACCTCTTCTAAACGCTCCCTCTACAGTTGAGAGTTCTGTATGCTGAAGCCTCTCTGATTGGTCCAATTATCTACTTATCTGTCCCCAACATGACTTATATTATCCACTTATCTGCTCCTCGGCTATTATCTATTGGTTCAGTCCTTAATTTCCCGAGCTGCCCGGTATATGATCATTGGAAACCTTATTATACAGGGCGGCCGGCAGTCATTTCCTGTATGCTAGATATCCTGCGGATGGATGGTAGTTGCTAGAATGTCCAGCCATGCCCTAACTCCGCTGCAATCAGTATCAACACACTACTATTAATACGGTTACCGATATACACAACAATAGTGCACATGGCTGCAGAATTGGTAAATAAATGTTTGATATCTGATATCTGTTGGAACTGCATTATATTGGGGTACACTTGCACTCTTGTGTCATGTCTTGGCTCGGCCATATGTTTTCGGTCATTACAATATAAATAAATTGGTTGTGTGCAGCGAAATTTGGGTACTAATAATATGGTGTACGGATAAATGTCACACTAAAGTATAAACTCACTTCCTGTAAATCTTCAGATACGTTTGAGACTTTACAAAAACCTTCCTCAAGGTTTAATTTAAAACTACTGAAAAATTTTCACGCTTGGAGTTCAAAATGTTATCATGAGCATAGCGCAAGCTCATTTTTCACCCTTAAGTCGAATTTTTGAAAGTTTAGCTAGACTTTTGAATGGCTTTAAAACGAAGCAGAATCCGCGAATTATTATCATAAACATTGACTACATAAAAGTCGCCGTTCAAGATTCGTGGGGTTGGTTGGTTGTTCGAATGATTTAAAACCTTCAGGAAAGTCTAAGAAGTATCTTAAGATTTGCAAATAATCACTTCAAATTTAATCCCTGGACCAAGCGAAGAAGCATGTCAATTTCAAAATCGAAAGGCTAAAAAGCAGCCATGATGTAAAATGCACAAGTTAAGTTAAAGAAGAAAACCATAAACCAATAATTGCGAGCGATCACAAACTAAACTAACTGGTAGTGGTTGAGTAGTACGGCATAAAGTCGCTTAACCATCGGTTAAAGTAAGGCTTACTAAATGGGGGTGTATGGTTGTTGCTACCTCTCTTTATAGCGTTACACGTTAGAGTTTCACGTTACTACAATTACATCAGACAGCTATGCCTATAGACAGTTCCCACAGTTTGATGAAGTCAGCTGGATTCAGTGGGTTAAATAATTGCAAATTGGCGAGATTAAAATGGCGTCAGCAGTCAGAAGTATTTTAAAATTTATATCGCGATGGACCATTTAAATACGCTATCTCAGTAAATTCATACCATTTATTTGTTAAAATGTTTGAATAGTTGGAGAGTCAGCACCGCTAGATTCAAAACAATAAATTTCAACATTTGATAGTGGCAAATATGAAATAGTTTTTATTACCAAAGTCAGAAATGCTGAGTTACTCAAAAGTCATCTTGTCTTGCAGCCTTTGGGCACGCATTGTATAATGTATATCTCGCACCAAACCTAACCGTATATCCCCGTATATCACCTAGCTCCAAAAGTAAACGAAATAGCCAAAAAGGTAAAATGTACATCCGTTTTTTGCAAATGCTTTTCTCTAAGATTCTTTGTTACCCCCATTTTTATTAATTTTTTTATTAATGGGACAAATTTGACATTTTCTGAACCAATCATCAATCATGATATATCCTGAACCAAAATTTCACAGATTTGACCGAATTTTTGTCGAGTGACCAATTATTCAGTGAACTATGAATGACATGAGAGTCTCATTGAGACCCAATCGAGTTAAATTCCAGACGGAGAAAGCACCAAAAAAGGGAGAAATAATATCGTTAAATTATTGTCCCACTGTCTGGAAGTCAAAATCGAATTAGGGTGGTATCTGAGGTTCAATTGGTAAGCACGTAGAATTGTAAGGGTATTACATTTATTCATTATATATTCTTAAATTTAATATGTTTGTAGAATTTCAGAAATTTCACAACTTATATAACTATTGTGCATTACATTTCTATTCTGTTAACATTGGCTAGCACTTTTTGGGCGGTCCCAATCAATGAATCAAAGTAACCCTCATAACTGGGCCATATTTTCTGTCCAATGCATAAATAAATACTGTTAGGAAGGTTGGAGCAGTTTGTTCGTCATGTCAGTATTTGAAGCAAACAGACTGTGGTCTCTGCATATTATAAAAGTATTAAGTAATTACCAATTAAGTAATCAAGCCATTCTTCGGGATCACCAGAGCTCTCGATGGACAGAATTATCTATCTATGCCAAGGATTTAGTATGCAGTAAGCTGCGTCTAGCAGACTGAGCGAACAATTCCACCACTTCAATAATTCATTAGGTACCAAGTTGCTTAATAAACGAGCTGCTTTAAAAACAGCTTTAAACTGTCTTCACTTACAATAGACATGGATTGAGTCTCGTGTTAATGAACAGAGTTCAATCTTACCTGGGGACACCAGGCTATTAGTATTATGTTGATAAATATAAACTTAAAGATTCGGCAGAATGACAGGCTGGCTGAGCGCCGCCCCGTAAAGTTCATTCTATTTTAATGGGCGCTTACCATTATATTTACATTATATATTAGCATACTAAGATTTGTACCTCGCCTAATCACAATGCCGGCCAGACCCAGAAATGGCCACGATTGTCTTACAGTTACAGTTGTGGCTGTGCCTCACCTTTGGTTTTAATTCCCGCTTTCTGGAAATCTAAATTTACCGCGAACTTTTCCCCAACTTAGAGCAATGTTGTTGCTACTGATTATAATCAGAGAATATGATGTTTCTTACAGTTACAGTGCGGGAAATTATGAAACTATGAGAGGGAGTTTTTAAGAAAACCTTGTCATACGTTGTAGACAGTAGACCTGCCGCGTATGAGTGCGCGGCTGTATCGTGGTTTTTGCCACGATACTTAGTGAAACGACACTGTATGCTGTAATGGGGTTCACGACGTAGTACAAAGAAAAACGTGGATAAAACACACATTTCTGCTCTCTTAACTACTCTCGTATGCTCGGTCCCCGTGATCACTTTATTTATAAACACTGATCCTTGTTGTAATTATGGGCTTATGACTATGTCAATCCTTCGCCATTCGCAGCTCAGCGTGGCCCTGCAGTGGTCACTGTGCACTGGTCAATGGTGTGTGGTGCAACTCGCCGATCTCGCGAGGCGAGAAGCATTATATTTACTTATATCATTATCATGTATCACGTCGTGACCCCCACGGCCTCACGGTCGTTTCACTATAGTACGTCCTGACGATACAGGGGGACGATACAGGGGGAGCCGCTCACTCGTGTGCGGCCGGTCATACAATGAACAACGTATGACAACTAATACTATTTATTGGATGCGCGGCCAGTAGTGCATCGCTGGGGGGGGGGGGGTTACCGGGTGATCCTCTATTAAAATTTACTGCTTTTAAAAAATCATTTTGTTAAAGTTAAACGTGTTGTTGGAGGCCTCGGTTTTTTATTGCTTTATGCTCATAGTCTGTAGTCATTATGTCTTTGCCAACCACATTAATTCAAATAAAAGTATCGGTGTTATCGAGCGCGGATAGTTTTTACTACCAAATTTTGATGATCAGTGTATAGTGTATACTGGTTCATCAACGTTTTTCCTAATTGAGTAATTGATTATTGTAGGTTTACAACCTACCACATACCAGGACGCGCGCCGAGTTGGACTCGTCGACGGTCCTCCAATATATGGAACAGATATTTTAGGAGTATCAGTATCACCCGTTAAATTGATTACCGTTGTAATTAATTTTGATAAAAAGCAGTGAGTCAACATTTCTTTTGAAAAAAGATGTAAGACCAATGCGGTTGGGAAAATAGTTAAATTATTCTGGAGAAAAATAGTTTTTGTAATACTAATGTAATTGTAGATCAGTGTAGATGAATTTATGCATTTAAGCTCAAGCATATTTAAGACGTATAAGCATTGATTAAAGCAATATAATATAGCATATAAGATGAAATTATCAACGTTTTATCACAATGCTGGCAAGCATGACCGTCGCCCTACTAATAGTAATAGTAAAATCGGCAAAAACAGAAATCCTGATATGTGATAGTTTAATTTTCCCAAAATGACATCAATTTGACTTACATCCTTTTTCACAGAACAGCAAAATAAGGACACAGCACACAGCGTCCAATCGAAATCTCTAAATTTCTCTTGAAGAAAAATTTATTAAGATGTTCACAATTCATGTTAACCATGAGTGTCCATTTTTGGAAATATAATATATCATTGTATTGAAGATGAAATATGAAATATCCTTCAATTTTAAAATACCGATAACTCCTTAAACATCGATACAATATTTCAGTTACAATTTATTATTTAAGGTAAAGATAACATATTGATTTTATAATTTCTTATAGCCGTCATACATTATTTCTAATACTGTCATACATTAGGGAATTTTAAGACATAAGAAACCCGAACATGAAAGCGGCCATAATTATCATAACGGCGTTGCTTTGGTCCCCCCTCAAAGGTAAAAGTGAATTAGTGATACACTTTAATTAGTGATTATGTCAGTGCTTTGATTGAATTTGATATCTACTAGTACCATTATATTTAAGTTAATACTTCAATTGATCAATCAAGATGTATAACATTTAAGTTGTAATCAACTTAAATCCACACTAATTCCCTAATTTGACTAATTTTAAAGTGATCACTATACTACTTCAGGTGCATTACCAGAGGTACTAGTTGAGATAAAACCTGCCTCTGTGTCTCAGTCAGCGACTTTAAATAATAACGTGACTTATTTTGGAGCAGATAAGGCTATAGACAAGGATCTGAGTACTCGTTCTTATGCAAGACCAGGAGGGTATGCTAATGCCTGGTTTAAAGCGTCTCTAGATAAGGTACAATGTATTAAGTGGGTAGTACATTATGTTAGCTCATATTTAAAAAACACCCACACCTGCTCTAGTGACTCGTGTACCTGTCAGGGAGGGTGGTGTGATGATTGGCCCCTCACAGTGTACCGTAAAAACACGGACCCTGGAGATTATGTCCCCTCCGGGTGCAAACTTGGAGACGCTGTAGAAATAAAAGACCATGGGCGGGGGTATGTCCGAGTGTATGAAATGGTGATCATCGCACAATTAGGTAGTCGATTGAATTCATTAATTTTAAGTTACTAATCCAAATATTTCCCAGAAGACTACCTATTATCGGTGACCGACAACTAGGAACCTCTCATTTCGGCCTCCCACAGGTATCACATCACATGGCCCAATCAGTGACGTATCATTTGTGATGTGATCCATATTATAACCATCCTAACAGCCGGACAACCAAGAACCTGGGTAGGGTTCACATGACAGTTTAGTAAGTAGCTGTGAATTATGATTTATGAAGTATATTAAAGTGTTTGAGCTCTCGGTATGTGTTCACATTACGGACGTGAGCCGGGTCCGAAAGGGGCTGGTTCTCGTATCCAAGGATGTGAGCCGAGCATGCAATGGGAGTGATACGAGACATAACAAGTGCGAGAGTTGATCAGCTGTTAATATACAACCGCACTTCTGGTATAGTTGTGGAACCAGGAGGTGTTCTACCAAATAACATACTACATCCAAGCTTACTATCCTCAGTTAATGGTAGTGGTAAATTATTTCGTGAAAACCTACCTTGAGTCAGTAACTGTCGACAGTGAGGAAAGGGTTCCTCCCAAGTTTCCTTTGACGTTCTGGAATCACTATTCCAAGACGTTGGAGGATCCGGAGTTTCCCCGGACCTCTAACATGGTCGAGGGTTTTCATCGTGGATTTAAATCCAGAGTGAATCGACCCAAGCCGACCGTGCAAGAGTACTTCCGTGCTATTCGGGAGCAGCAGGTGATCACTGATTACCATATCGATCGACTGGGTGTTGGAAAAACCCCTTCTAAGAAAAGGATTAGAAGGAAAACTTCCAATGACCAGTTGTTCCAGATCTGTTCCAAATACTCGGATTGCTCTAGCAAGGTTGACTATCTGTTTGAGATTGCCAAATACTTTGGCCATGAGATTGGTATTGAGTAATGTATTCTGTATGTAATTATTATGTTGGGTTTGAACTATCATTATCTTGAAAAAAATCTTTGTCTTAATCAATGAGTGCAGAAATATATACAGCACAGCTGTGAAATCGGTGGACACCTGAATGTTTAAAGTATCTCCAGAGGTTCCTAGTTGTCGGGGATATGTCATGATTGGTTCCTAGTTGTCGGAGCTGATTGGATTTCCCAAGCTTGCATGTTAATTAGTTAACTAGGTAAAATTGAAAGGTTCCTAGTTGTCCGTCAGCCCCTCAATCGAATCGTGTCATATGCATTATGCCATTATACTCGACTGACTAATTGGTTGCGGGTGACAAATTCAGTAAAAACTGTACAATTTCGGTCCTGGAAATTTCATCTTCAAAAATTGAAAATGGGACAGAGAATGGGATCGGGACAATATGATTTTTCAATTTTCGGGATTTTGACTTCCAGTACCTCAATTTGGTTTCATACCATTACCAATACCATCATAAATTAACTGACTCATTGGTCTCTGGGCAAATATTCCATCCATTCTGTCAAAATTATGTTCATAAGTAATAAGTTTTCATATTTGAAAATGGGACAATCTGTAAAATATGAATTTTCGATTTGTTATAAGCTTTTTATAAGCTTTTGCTGTGAGCTTCCTCCGACCTCAATCAATCTTCCAGCACCTCAATCGTGTCATATGTCGTCATCTATACTCGACTGACTAATTGGTTGCGGGTGAAAAAATTCCCAGACCAAGTAAAACAACAAATTTCACAGCATATATAAACTAAAATAAAATACAAAATGTAAGGAAACAATATTGATAATTGTAATGTTACAACAAACTTGGCGGTGAGGAAATTGTACTAAAAGCGCTGCGCATATTCAATACGGCGTTGCTGTTAATAGTAATTAATTAAGCAATTAATTAATTATTAGTAATACTCGCTTAAAGTTGAACGGATAAAGGTTCAGATGTTAGGAAAATTCTATATGAAATTCTCAAATGTATATAATATAGCATCATGTAGAAATACGAGTCATGTACTTTCTTCACTCAAAGTCTTACTCTTAGGTTTCTTTTTTAGTTTTAAAAGTTAACGGCTAAATATCCTGAAAATATCACACTCGTTACTCCCACTTAGTCTCACACTAAGTCCATCGCTCGATTGCACGGCTCAACAGTTATCAGTTCAGGTAAATGAACACTTTATTTGGATGAAACGGACAACAAAAATGTGTCTTTTATTTCAAGCCTATTTGATCAAATCATAATGAGTGAAACTTTCATGAAGTGTATTATTTTACCCTTTAAATAAACTGAGCCGCGCAGTCAGTTACAGGTAACCACTGAGTGTACCCTAACATCAGTTGTCAGGGTAACCAAAGTAGTCATCATAAGCAGTGTACACAGTTTTCATGTTTCCATGGTAACCAGTGTGCCAATAAATCAGCTGATTTAAGGAAGTTTGCGTTTCTTTTAAATATAATGTAAACTCTAATTTCTAAAATCATCAATATTAGCCTTCATGATCATACCGATACAGCATTTTAAAAATTTTGAAAATTCGTTGTCATATTCAATCTGGATTCTGAGTATTAATAATATAGTATCGGTATCATCTCCACATAGTGGAAACTGGAAAACCAACGAAATCCGGGATCAATCGTTTCAATAATAAAATGAGAACGTGAGGTTTTTAAATAAATAAGCAACTGATCCCAAATGTTTTGGATACAATACAAACCATTTATACCATCCAACAGTTTTAACTTTAAATCAAAGTCGACCAACTTTACAAAAAAAGTTAATCAACTTCAAATGAAAGCGTATTTATGCTACGAATATAGCAATTCCAGTGCTCTCATCATCACACAAGTTGTCTTTATAAAGGAGCAGCAGTAAACAACTCGTACCCACGTATCAAGTATAAAATCATTAAACAGTAAATATGTTTTTAGATCAGTAAAGGGGGAGTTTTCCAACACCATTATAGTCCATTATATCTAGACAATATCTAGTATCTACATATCGTTATTAAACCACACGCGCGTTATATATCCTTTAACTTCCGTATCAGATTCCTACCCAGTATTATTATAACATGATGGAGCAAGTGTTAAAAGTAATCTGATAAAATATTACCCAGTAACTAGCTTGTACTTTGAGCCGGCCCTGTACAAACTAAAATTAAGATAAAAAATAGCGTATCATGTAAAAACTGGTATTCAATTATGCTGTGTCTCAAGCGGAGTTGAGTTATGCTACTAAAAGGCCAAAGTGGTTTGAGAAATAAATTAAATTAGAAAACATGTTATATAAGTAATACTAATACCCAAGTATTTAATTAAAGTGGGATATTTAAACAAAACAAAGCTCCTAATAAGTTAACGAACGTTTTTAGTTAAAAACATAAATAAACACGTGACACGTGATCCACAATCGAGATATCAGCTGATTCTCAGTTGCAAAATATTCCCTTCTCTTCCCAATTCATATTCCCTTCATTTCCGGAATTGTTCCCTCGCGAAATTGAACGTCTACTGTCAAATAAAATTATGAATGTATCAATAAATCTGACAGTATAATCCCGTGTGTGTTTGGGATAAAGCTGAGGTGACAAGTTTTTGTGTGTACAATTTACAAGGCGGTTTCGTGAGAACAGAGTTTTTGATAAAGGAGTCAGTTTCATAATGTTGAAATGTTGAGGAGTACTCAGTATTGCGTAATATTGAAATGTTGAGGAGTACCCAGTACTTCATAATGTTGAAATGTTGAGGAGTACTCAGTATTTCATAATGTTGAAATGTTGAGGAGTACTCAGTATTTCGTAATGTTGAAATGTTGAGGAGTACTCAGTATTTCGTAATGTTGAAATGTCGAGGAGTACCCGTAATTTCGTAATGTTGAAATGTTGAAGAGTTTCTCAATTTGAAGAGGATGTAAACAGATAATGTTTCTTTTTTGTTGCTCACCAATATTCTACTGGATGCAGCCCAACTTCTAATCGCTCGATTCAACTGTCTTTTCTTAGGTTATTTTCATAGGGAGTAGTAAACTAGCGTCTACAACAAATAGAACTATTATAAATGTCTGCTGGAGGCGGTCGAGCTATTCTCACAACATGTCATCCATATCACATTCTTATAATACCATATAAGGTAATGTTACCATGGTAACACTACCATGTAAGGTCATCCGTATCTGGACTTGTCAGAAACTGAAGGTCAGGGCTGGGGGACTGTAACTGTCACGTGAACTATTATCTGTAGCACGTGATCTGAGCCGCGCAACTCTGAGGCACATGATTCAATCTGCTCTGCATAATCTGTGTCCTGTGTCTTCATATCTCACTCTCTTTCTTGCTTCTCTGCTCTGCGTCCCATACTTCAGTCTGATAGTAAAACATGATTAAGACCGATATATTGATATTGTACAGTGGAAATATTTATTTATTTTTTCATCTTAAAATGGTTACTCTCGTATATATGATAGGGTATAAATGACTAATACTGACCGTGTGGGTCTGAGTGGCTTGTAGACTGATCTGCATATACTCCTGCCCCGTCCTCTGAGTTGCACGCTGCCCCAATCTGTCAAAATATCATCATCATTATTCTTTATCATATCACGAATAGGAACTATTTAGTAAAAAATCTGCTGAGGGTCGCCTAAAAATTGAACGAACCTTCTAAAATCGGCTTAAATTGGGATTAATTACAATCATTAGTCGATCTTTTAGTTCCTTTATACTCATTTAAATTCCATCAAAATAAAACTATCTGTTACAAGCTCAAACCATCAAACAATCAACTAATTAGTAAACAAGTAACTAATTACAAAACAATTAACTAATTAAGTTGAAATGTAGCTGACCTGTTGATGCACGGTTTGCAACTGAGACTAACTGCCTTCTTGCAGCCCACTATCCCAATAATGATAACTATGATAACGAGGGAGGCGATGATAACACAGATCCACCAGGAGATTGTTCCTACCTTGTTACTATCAGTGGTATCTGTAAAACAGAAGATTTAGAGTAAACTAGAAACTTTATAGAGTCTAGAGAGTAATATAGTGTTAGTAGATATAATGTAGAAGAGGTTCAGGAGGCTTGAGATAACTACTTGTACAGATAACCTGACCCAATTCGACAATTTTTTTCTTCATAGGATTGGATTTTTAGGTTTCTTATGGTTTGAGAACCTACATTTAACGTTATAATAACAGAAAGTTACCTGTAGTTTTGTTGTTGAGACCATTATCTGTTTTGACAGTAGGTGTGCTGGAGACACAGCCGTAGCCAGTAGAACTGACTCTAACACAAGGTACGTCAGGAGGACACGAGGGACAGATAACCTCGTAGGTGGGAGGTACACACTGGGTACCGTTCTGTAGCACTAGTCCCTGTCATAGTTACACGTGTTACACGGAGAGTTACACGTGTTATTTACACGGAGAGTTACACGGGTTACAGTGTTACGGTTATATTACAAGTAACACGGGTTATAACTATTAACTATATTACACAATGCAAATCTGTGCGTCGAGCGTCACAGGAAAGTCATTTGGGTTTTAGAAATCAAAAAAATTACAAATAACAGATAAAAAATTACAAATTAAAGATATGATAAGTGTCTGGCTGCTAACCTCTGGACAGAGACAAGTAGCAGCCCCAGAAGTGAGTAGACAGTAATGAGAACAGGTTTTGTTGCTACAATAGTTCACAGCTGCTGGCTGACGGAGGGGGTGAACTACTTTCACTCCCATTGGTACGTGTAATCTCATTCTTATCTGCTCTGTTTGACTTGTATTAAACCTGGGCGGGGTAGACTTATTACTATATATTATTACATTTAACTGTTTTATTTAGATAATATTAAGTGGCCGAGTCTTCACAGATAGTGTTACAACACCTGCTATTACCAAGATGGATTAAAAGTGTTTTAAGAAACAGCTAGAACTCTAAATCTGTTAGACAGGCTGTAACTAACCTGTTTAAGCAACAGTTAGAACTCTAAATCTGTTGCTGTAACTAACCTGTTACACTTGAAGAGAGCCTCCTGGTTATCATGACTGTCAGTCCAGTAATAACTATCCTCAAACATGCTGATAGACCACGGTCTGGCCCCGTTAGGTGTCAGGAATTTAACTGCTCTCCTGTTGTTTCCCTGATAGTCCATCTCCTCAATACGGCCTGGGAACGAGGTCTGGTCTACCATCCCAGCGTCTGGGAGGAATGTGTAAGTAACAAACAATACTAGAAACACAGGCAGGAATGTTTCAAGAAAACTCAATATACTACGCTAAACACAAGATACTACATGTAAAATCCGGATTGGAATATTATTTATGAGTCGCATAGTTGAAATGTTTTCTTGGGTAAATTTCTATTGATCCCATTTGATGCGACAAGGAAAAGGCTCTTATCAGGAAAGGAATTATTCAAAGGAAAATTATATCCCTTGTCGTATCAAACGGGATCAATAGAAATTTACCCAAGAAAACAATATACTACGCTACAATAGGTACTTTATAAAGCTCAATCTCCTACCTATCCAGATAATAACTCTTCTAGCGTAGTCCACAGTTATCCCGTTAGCCCATCCCACATTATCAGCCAGCACTTCACGTCCTGTACCGTCCATGCGGGCTCGCTCTATTTTACCTGGTTCTTTTGTGTCTATATCAGTCCAGAACATCAACCCGTCCCTCTGCAAAGTTATTTATACTGGTTATGGGACAGAACGTCAATTCTAATTCTAATTATTATTAAATTACCGCATTATTCTATAGTCAAATTATAAAGGCCATAGTAGGGTTTAGTATTTACAGAGTTCAATTTTGATTTGCATGATCCTTCACAGAATAAATGTTTCATTAAATTATCAATTAGGTCTCATATCAATTGTGTTCAGCTTTGTAAAAACTGACCTTTTACTATATTCTATTATCTACCCTTCCCTCTGCACATTTGTTTTTTGAGAACGAAATTATTTTGTTTGTCCAACAACTAGTTAAAGAATATGTTTCACGAAAGAAAGTTCAGATTTGTGTGGTGATCCTAAAAATGTCGAGATATTACCGCGTTACAAACCAGGCTTTAAACACTCGATTTAATGAATTTAAGAAACGAAAATAAGATAATAAAAAAATAATTTACCGGGTATATTAAGTTAAATGTATTAAGTTAAAAACCCATATCCAAAAACCCGCATTCTCGCATTCTAAGAATGGAGGAAATTTTTAAAAGTAGGGAATTTTTGACAAAAAGTAGGAAATTCGAGAGCCAACTCTGAGAATTTTCGATAATATTTCAGTAGGAATTTAAGTGAAAGAGCAGACTTAAAGTTGCTGGACCGTTATTTAAATGTCCTCAGTCAGGGATCCACTGATCCAGTCTATCAAATTTCGTTTCACAGACCAAAGTTTGTTGCTATTAGCTACAAAATCTGTGCATCAAGTAACCACTAACCAGATGCTAATTATTGGGGCATTTTCGCGTACACGACATAAATAGTTGTCCAGGAGAATATTTTTAAAAGATTCAAAATTTTTGTTTCGGCAATATTGACGGGTTTTTTGCAAGCGAGTAGATTATATGACAAAAAACGACCACTTGCAGTCATATGCTGGGCTCATGAACACGCTGCTTTCACAGGTTTCCCCCCATACACATAGCTGTACGTACAATCCTGAACACTTGGGTGCCATGTTCGAATGCCCAGTCAAATCTGTGGTGTATACTGTTGAAAAACTGTGCGAAGTTACAAACAAGATTGTGACACAAATCAAGTCCTCCAACTTTCAACATATCCTCCGGGTGCTATTGATCAAATATTATAATGATTTTCCACAGAGAACACTTCATGGGTTCTTAAAGATCCTGACTATCGCCACAAGTGAGGCCATTGCAGATAGTCAGGGATCTTTGATAGATGCATTACACTTACGTTATAAGAATACAGATCATAGGGATGACAGAAGAGTGCAAAAAGAGCTCCAGATTAGGCTGATGGCCCCATCACCATGTTCTGCTGAGGGTGAAAAGCTTGTTCAACAGGTTGCTACGAGAATGGCAAGAAACCACTCTTTTCTAAAAACCACCCATGGGGGGATGGGGGCGGCTATAGAAAACTTCTGCAAATCCCAATATAGACTACCATTCCAGTTTTGATAATAGCATTATCAATCATGTAATGTTGTGAACGGTCATCAATGCAATTGTAATAACTTTATGTCAGGAGTTCAAAGAACATTATATAGTACTAGTGTAACCCGGCCTACGGCCGGGATTTCACTGCCGCAGTTAAAAAGGGTAGGAGTAATTACCCGCTGAGTCAAAACCCGCATTAGGTGACCCAATAGTTTCTTAAACAATAATCTCATAATCAGTTATTTCTTGTGGATAATTAAGTCATTATTAGCCATGAGGCACCACACTCCATGATGATAAGGTCTGAACACCGAGTATTACACCTCATCACTCCCGTCTTGAACCGCTTTCTATTTTTATTTAAATCGTTATAGAAATTAACCCTTGTTAACTCCGCACCACACCCGCATATTATATTTGAAAACACGCATAACATTGTCGTATGAACTCTCTCTCTCTCTCTCTCTGCAGTCCAAACAGACCCCAAACACTAACAGTCCCCCCTCCCCTAATAAGCTTAAGGTATAACATTACAGCGAATCTTCCAGGCTAATCCAATTATGACGCTACTTAAATGCAGCTATAACACATTACACAGTAATGAGAGAGAGAGAGCAAGCCCCGTAACTCTTGCCGTTCTGCTCACGCAATTTTATGTAACATTTGTGGTACAAAACCATCAATTAAACCACTTACCATCGGCCGATTTAAAAAAAATTTTCCTATGGGCTTCATCAGAGTTTTGTCGACACTATACCGAAAAAATCAGTCCCGTAACTCTTACCGTTTTTTTTGTATAACCGACCGGAAATTACACACGGACAGACAGACAGACAGACACACACACACACACACACACATTCTGGTGTTATTAAGGTGATTATGAGTTGATGTAATACGTCTAAACATGCATAATGCATAAGCATTCTTTGTTGCGTTTCCTATCTTATTTAAATAGTAAATACTAATAGTCATTATTATATTTTTGAAAATTTAAATTCCTTGTTTCTTGAATATTTGGTCTCATACTTGCTTCCTTCTCCAAATTCCCTTAACTCTGTATTAGTTTATAGCTTGAAAGCAGAAAGTGATGGTAGTAGATGAGAAAACATTTTTGCAAAAATTATAAACTCTTGATACTTCATGCTGTCTCCTATTTCGTGCTTTAGTTAAGCCAAGTGTTTAGGGATTCTAGAATCCAGACAATTTATCCCAATAAAAATTGAAATCAGAAAATAGTATGCTAAAATCGTTATCCATTGTCAGATTCGTTCCAGGAGGCCAAATCTAGTTTAAATTTCCAAAATTTTCGGGGGCTTCGCCCCCAAAAGTAACCTAGGATTATCTATTAAAAAGCATTCCGGGCCCTAAAAAAGTAAAATTGATAATCTGGAATCCGCCATGAAAAAGCTTTGAACCGCGCGAAGCGAGCGGGCCACAGAAAACGAAAAAATTGAGAATGTAGGAAATTAAAAATTTTTTGGATATGGGGTTAAAAATAGTTTAGTCGTATTAAGTTAAATAAGTTATACATATTACACTAACCGGGTCCAGGACGATTGAGTAAGGATCCCTAACATTATCAGATAGAAGAGTCAGCACACTTCCCTCTGTAGGCTCGATCACACAAAGTAGACCTTGGGACTCGTTCTTACCAACTATGTACAACATTCTGGTGACCCAGTCGACTGCTAGGTTATCTGTAATGTTTAGTTGTAATATTACGGTATTGGTGATGTCCAGTAAACTAATAAGGGCCAATAAGATGATCACTATCCAACAGATAAGTTTCACATTATAAGATTAAATTTTATGTTCATTTACATTTTTTTGTTACTGTATTACATTACAAAATTATTATTATATTACAAAAATTAACTAACGTATGGTGAGATATTTGTCGCTGATTATCCGCTCTATTCCTGTGTTATTAAAGAATCGTCTGTTAACCGCCGTCTCATACTGTATTCCCTGAAATACAGCCATTTATCAAATCTATTAGACAGATTTACATTTAATTTTAAATCGATCGCCGCGGCTAACAGCAAAGACGGTGAAAGGTCATGACAAAACCAGATTATCACGTGACAAAACCAGATTATCACGTGACAAAACCAGATTATCACACAGTTGTTCTGGCTGATTACCAACCAATTTGTAAATAATCTTATCGGTGGGACAAAGAGAAACTAGCTACAAAGTAACAAAGATCAAGAGGAACTAATGAGTGATAAGTCACATAGTTCACTTTAGTTTCATATAACAAGATTTGCAACTTCGTGTCAACTCAGTCGTAACTTTTAGATATATCCTCATTACACGAGACCAATAATGGTTAATGACCATGTCACGAGCCCGGATTCCATTAACACTCTGACAATAGATCCATTATGTTAGACACAGTAACGTTATGAGATGGCAGGAGCAAGGGGTTCGACCAATAACTCGTTAGTCTTTACTCATTTTATTAAATGTGGTGCAAGGTTCACATCAAATCACTTTTGCTGCCTTCTAGTTAATTAATGAGTTATCTTGTCAATGAGTGGTTGTTGCCCTGATATTTACCAGATTGAGTGATGCGATGGTTGATCATTTTAATTAGCCGCATAGAATATATTGAATGTTAAAGTTGTTACCGAATACCGTTATTAGTTATTAGCTGTTAACGTTATTACATTGTATAACTTCTTATTCTGCTTGTTAAAGTGTCATAAGTCAAATGAATAATGTTAGTGTTTTTAAAACGTAAATGGTCGCTTCTCATTATTCGTTATATTGTGTTAAGTTATTCATGTTTGCTGAACTCTTTGATTCGTATTAACAGTGTAATGGTTATTCAACTCCAATGCAGATTAACGGGGTTCACTCAGTCTGGCCGTCAAACCGCATAGCTAGTAACATCACCTCCCTAGTGCTAGTAACATCACCTCCCTAGTGCTAGTAACATCACCTCCCTAGTGCTAGTAACATCACCTCCCTAGTGCTAGTAACATCACCTCCCTACTCCCTAGTGCTAGTAACATCACCTCCCTAGTGCTAGTAACATCACCTTCCTAGTGCTAGTAACATCACCTCCCTAGTGCTAGTAACATCACCTCCCTAGTGCTAGTAACATCACCTCCCTAGTGCTAGTAACATCACCTTCCTAGTGCTAGTAACATCACCTCCCTAGTGCTAGTAACATCACCTCCCTAGTGCTAGTAACATCACCTCCCTAGTGCTAGTAACATCACCTCCCTAGTGCTAGTAACATCACCTCCCTACTCCCTAGTGCTAGTAACATCACCTCCCTAGTGCTAGTAACATCACCTCCCTAGTGCTAGTAACATCACCTTCCTAGTGCTAGTAACAGCACCTCCCTAGTGCTAGTAACATCACCTCCCTAGTGCTAGTAACATCACCTCCCTAGTGCTAGTAACATCACCTCCCTAGTGCTAGTAACATCACCTCCCTAGTGCTAGTAACATCACCTCCCTAGTGCTAGTAACATCACCTCCCTAGTGCTAGTAACATCACCTCCCTAGTGCTAGTAACATCACCTCCCTAGTGCTAGTAACATCACCTCCCTAGTGCTAGTAACATCACCTCCCTAGTGCTAGTAACATTACCTCCCTAGTGCTAGTAACATCACCTCCCTAGTGCTAGTAACATCACCTCCCTAGTGCTAGTCGAAACAATTTTGTATTGTGTTGAATCGGCACACAACGGTTCAGGGCTACAAAATAGTAGATATTACTCCCTGAGTTTAGAAGTTACTGTCCCGACTCCCGATATTTACCAGATGAATGATTGGAGATTGATTAATTTTTATTAGTTCCATTGAATATGTTAAATGTTTATTATATTTTCCATCAGCTTGACTGTCAAACAATTATAAATACGAAGGTTCATTTGGAAGGAATAATATATCTATTGTTACAGAGAAATCCATCAACCTATATTACTCCTTCAGATTGATGTGCCGTATTAATTGTTCAACAGTCAAGCTACTGAATAATACAATGAACTGTTAACAGAGACTGAGAGTAAACCTCCGCACCAGAATGCTCACTTACACTTGACAACGTGCAAATAAAGTCCTTATTCGGCACCTGGCTCCAGTTCTTCAATGATAGTGATAATATTACTTTAATATTATGTTATTAATATTATATTATTTATTTCTTTGTCAACTGCCGTAGCAGTGATCAAACCTTCAGGTTACACGTTGTACGTGTCTACTGTCTAGGTAGTGTGTAGATCAGCAGCTATAGGATTTTTCAGAACAACCCCCAGGGGGGGGGGGGTTCACCCTGATTTTCTTGTGAAATTTGATTTCGAGATAGCAATTGACCAACAAACTAGGGCCTGTGACCGAACTTTTGAGGGGGTTCTAGACTCTGGGTGCCCACCGGTGCCCGCGGGACAGCCACGCTCATATTTTGTCCAAATTATGCCCAATTATGCCAAATCATCTTAACTTGCTCAAAACCCAGATTTTATGTGCTCTACTTGTAGCTAGTGGTCTCCTGAACTCGTATATCAATTTAATAAGTTTTGTAGTGGAAGTTTGAGTTAGGCCTCGGTTGTACGGATTCTTCCTGTATTACTCTCTATGGACACGTTCATTGAAGTTTGAGGATATTGGTAAATTTCTAAAATAGCGTTTTCGACGATAGTGGCTTAATTTTAGCATCTATTAATCTAGCGTGTTCATAAGTTCTGAACATCAGCCACGTGACCCATACTCCCATATGCACTGCTCAGAAATAAAATGTATTGCTTTTAGGCACTATAATGTAAAAAATGTCACATTTTTGTGACATTGTTTACCATAGCTGCCCAATTATCATTCCTTGGACTGAAATATAGTAGATTAGGTCAATCTAACAATTATGATACAACATTGGTTAAAGGGCACGGATCGAACGGCTTTAAGGCAATATTTCGTAAACTTTGTCACACTCAAAATACGAGACCTCTTTTCTACTGTGAGGTGTCCTCAAAACCCTTTCAACTCATTATTTGATGGTTCTTCTGCCAATCATAGCCCTAAAATATGTTGTTTTGAAAAGTTAGCTAACACATGCACTTGGTTATTGGGAAATGATGTAAATTCTGTCACATTATATGGAATTTGAAATTCTGGGTGAATTTCCGAAATCATTTATATCTGATTTTGGTTTGGAAGGCGGGAAAACTCTATATAAGGACGATACACGGATACAGTTGATTCAAGTATAGGGCAGTTGATGTAAACATCGTCACAAAATGATAAGACATCATAAATAGGTTAAATTTGGAAACAATGATTATAGAATGAAATAGTCTGTGATTAACATATTACATACATTATAAAATGGCAGGGGTTTTTATATTTCCTGTATCTCTGTATTAATCATTTCGGACTGTAATTAGGACTGTTCACGTGAAAGAAATTGTATCTAAATTTTACAATGACGTACTCGTATGTGACGAAATTTACATTTCTTGACCCTATTTTGAAGAACCATACCTCGGTTAGAATTCAATGTTCTTCCAGGAATTATTGGTTGGTTATTGTTTAGCAAAATAGAACTCAAGTTTAACAATGCTGCGTTTAATTTTAATAAGTTACTGAAATGTGACGAAATTTACTTTTCCTGCCCCAACAGTATAATTTCAATGTGATGAAAAATTGGCATGGGTTTCTATATCTCCTGTATAAATCCATTCTAACTATAATAAGGACTATTGGTAGGAAATAAAATCTATCTAAATTTTAAAATGACGTATGTGACGAAATTTACATTTCTTGCCCCTATTTTAAAGAACCATACCTCAGTTAAAATTCAATTTTCTTCCAGGAATTATTGGTTGGTTATTTTTCAGCAAATCAGAACCCAAGTTTAACAATGCTGAGTTTGATATCACTAATTTACCGAAATGTGACGAAATTTACTTTTCCTGCCCGAACAGTATAATTTCAATGTGATGAAAAATGGGCATGGGTTTCTATATTTCCTGTATAAATCCATTCTAGCTATAATAAGGGCAGTTGATATGAAAGAAAATCTATCTAACTAATGCTATGGCTGATGTGACGAAATTTACATTTCTTGCCCCTATTTTGAAGAATAATACCTCAATTAGTATATAATGTTACTTTATCACCATCACTATGTCGATAAATTAGTTATTTTGCCAACACGGAGCAAATAAAGTTATAATATTTTTTTTGTGACGAAATTTACAAATTTTTACCCTGTTCAGGTGTTGAAATTTTGCCAATGTTAACATATCACTGCCATATAATAATTTATATGACCGGCGTATGGTTGAAATATTGTTAATTGATCCATAGTACGTAATATAGGGTGTTTAAGTTGGTATACTAATATTTACTCAATTTCACACATGTTGAGATATCATACAAATTTATGTGACTAAATTTACCTATTTCTGCCTTCTGTATTTGTATTTGCCTATAACAATGAAATATGTGAACAATTCCAAACACATTCAGTTCACAAAATAATGCTAGACTATTCGGCATTTCTTGTCAGGATGTCATAAACATCCCTCATATAAATTTCTTAAATGTGTGACGGAGTTTACATGGTGCTACCATTTAACGAAAAAAGTCGCTAAATATGTAGATAATAGTCATATGCAACTATCCTATAAATTTTAAATTCGAAAATTTGGTCAAACACGGCAACAAGGGGTCCATATAAACTCTGTCACGTTTTTATAGTGTGACAAAGTTTACAACTCACTGCCGGCCGCATTTAAGCGATATCTTATCGTCTGATAAAGATATCGTTATGCGACAAAGTTTATCTAGAGGATGAAACGATTATCCTAACCATTCAGGGTTTATATAGTTTTATAGTGTGACACATTTTACATCATCGTGCCATTTAGTAGGGTCACTAATATTTACCAATATCCTCAAACTTCAATGAACGTGTCCCTATACGTTTGAGATTTCTTATTTTAACCACTGGTTTCATTTGCACATATGGACCTATTACTTAAATACTTAATTACTCCAAATTCATATTACTCGACTTCAGCAAGTGTATTAAACCATTATGTTCCAAGCTACAGCACCAAGTAGCGGAAATATTGAGACATTTTCTTCCTTTCTATTTTTTCAGTACTGTATTCGGGCTTTAACCCGATAATTCTAATATCGGATGACCTTTAAAAAACGGAAAACCTGAAGGAACTCAGAACACGAGGATTTACTGAATTCTGTTAATGATTTGTGGTCTCTTTACCAACTCACGTTGCTGTGGTCGATTCAAATTGAGTAGGCGGATAAGATCCTTTGTGGCGAGCAGTGCTGCCTGTGTAACGCTTAAAATAACCGCCACAAGAAGATTGGAGAATGGTTAACGTGCTTCTTACTGCTTTCTGTTTACTCAGTTAAACTAACGTTGATTCGCTGAGTAATTCACCTTAAGAAATCACAAGTACCTTCATTTCTACAAATACAATACATGAGGCATTATTCTTATTAAATTTGTTTATTCTCCCTCCCCCCCCCCCCCCCCCCCCCCCCCCCCCCCCCCCCCCCTTTAACCATTAAAGATGCCCTGTATAAGATATTATACGTCTCAAAAAGAAAAGATTTTAGGGCTGCACCTTGTTGCATAAGCATAACGTCTGCCATCTATTATGTTATAAAACTAATACAATATTAAATATTGTAATATTATTACTATAACTATTGTACTATTATATCATTAGGGTTGTATAACATTGAGTAACATTGTTATTTTAATTCATTTACCCTATGTAATGTTATTTACTAGACAAAAAGGTCTCTTAACAGGGGACAAACACAATAATCGTTCACGATTCGGCCGGGCTAATGACTTTATAATTAGAAAATATAAACAGAAAATCTAACAAAAAATATTCAAACGTATTCTGTCTAAGTCTAATATGACAGTAAGAGTAACCGGTAGGGATTCAGTCCACCTACCCTTAAATATATTAATCCATTTTTTTAAAGATCAGAATGTTAGACGATTGCAGCAAAACCCAATTCTATGTGCTATTTTCAGACCCAAAACCTTATGATCGGGTGCTAACCATAATTTTGAAACCGTTCAGGTAGGTCAATATCAGCAGTTGTAAATCAGAAAATAACAGGAGATAATAATCTAAAGAATGTCGCTGTTCAGTGAAGGAGGAGGAACGTACCCAGACATCCTAATAATCCTACTCCTACTCCTCCTCCTCCTCACCTCCTCCCTCCTCAACGTGCTAGTCCTCCTCTACAACATCTCCTCCCCTGTCTCCATCCCCAAGTTCTTATTCAGTGTCCTGGCTGTCTCTGACTTCCTCTCCGGTCTGATAATCCCCCTAAACTCAGTGCTCCGAATAGCCTGGCCAGACGAGAGTAAGTGTGGGGAGCTGGTGTGGGTGGGAAATGAGTACTTCTGTTCAGTAGACCTGGATCCTAGCAGTCTGGAGAGGATGCTAGGAGCGCTACATTACACTCTCTTTACAGCTCCAGCCTGCTTCACAGCTGTACTAGCTATATGTAGGTACCTACAGATACAGTTCCCTTTTACTCCTCTAAAGAGGAGATATATAGTAGTATTTATTCTAACCTACCTGGTATATGTGTTGGTGGTACTGTTTGTTATCATGTTCCATGAGAAGGCCATGTACTTTAGTCAACTACAGACTACTAACAATGTGTACTTTGTTGGAGTGGACTTCAGTGAGGGAGCAACCTTTGCTCTGTTCAGCTGGCCTTGTCTTGCAGCTCAGATCATCTCACTTATTGCTTCTGTTTTTACGATTACCAGCTTGTACAAAACATTGGGACACTCCGCAGCACGGTTATCTAGAGATAATGGGAGAAGATCAAGTCTCAAGATATTGATTCAGAATTTTGGAGGAATTGCTATGACATTGTGTATGTTGTACTATTACTTCCACGCCCCTGATGAAGAAACCGGTTCAGCAGGGCACGGTGGTTCAGGACATGATGGTTATCTACTTCTCCTTCGCTTTCACAGTATTCTTACCAACATTCCTATCTACCTTCAACCCTGTTGTTTTTATCCTTTTCACGCCCAAAGTTGCCCGCTTTTTCAGCAAGGGCCACAAAAAAAGAAATGCTGTGTGTCCTGTGTCACACTCGGGAAATGCAATGTTTCATGTGTCAAACAAGCACAATAACATTGGTGAACCAGTGTGTCGGGACATGGGGGCGGAGGGAAACAATCAGAGATCAGTTATCATCAACTCATCTGCAGTCTGATTACACTAGCACGATAGAGAGTTGGAGCTTATTTCTTTAGCTTATTTCTTTACAGATATACTACAGCTGAACAGATTTATAAAATGCTGGACATTTTCATTTTTATTAGTATTGATTTTATTGAATTGGTTGATTGAACTATAGCTATTGAAGCCTTAAAATTAAAAACGCGTAGTAATTCCCCCGACTTCTTATACAAGAACTTAAATTTTGTTAACAACAAAAATACAAGAGAGGACAGTACTGACCCCGACAATTCTGTGCTCATCAGTGGAAACCCAGTACCAAACTTCCTGTCTGTAATCGAAGTCTATGATATTGCTGTGGTTAGTTCTGAAGAGGGTGTCCATCCGCGATCCGTGCACATCAGTCTTCCTCATTTCCAGGATATTACTGAACACGATGTACGGCTCTACAGTATCTGGGGGAGCTTCAGTTAGTTTTGGTCAATCTTAGTTAATGTTGTTGTTAGTTGGATTTAGTTAATTCTAATAAGCTTTATTCGAATGCGTTGAGAAACAGAGTAATCTAAGATTGTAAAAGTTGCACAATATTGTATGAATAAAGTACCTGTTGCAGAGCAAGACTGCCCATTCTCCCCTAGCTCATACCCTGAGTCACATGAGCAGTGATAAGAACCGTTAGTGTTGGTACAGAACTGGGAACAAGCTAGCTCCGTCCCTCCACACTCGTCTGTAGATAGAGATATTGTTAGTTTGTTATTTACTTGTAGGCGATATTGTTATTTACTTGTTATTTACTTGTAGGCGATATTGTTATTTACTTGTTATTTACTTGTAGGCGATATTGTTATTTACCTGTTATTTATTTGTAGGCGTATATTGTTATTTACTTGTAGGCGTATATTTTTGTTTGACTATGTGCCTGATGTTGCTAACAATTCTTGTGAACAACACTTCAAGTAAACTTGGCAACCAGCCTAAGTTACCTAGGCAATCAGCCTAAACAGTAAACATAATTAGTAGTAATCTCACCAATATCAGAACAAGATAGATTGTTATCAGCTAGATGGTAACCATGGTGACACGTGCACACGTGTGTGCTGTTCGGCTGAGGCTCGCACACGTGATCACATCCCCCTGAAATAGTTTATTGTTAGTTCAGAAAACACACAATTTACCAGAGTTCAGAGAGTGAAGGATATTAACCTGGTAAATCGGGGTTTTTATTTAAACCTCTAGCCAAAGAGGGAGAGAAGTTCTAGAAATCCTCTCTCTCTCTCTCTCTCTCTCTCTCTCTCTCTCTCTCTCTCTCTCTCTCTCTCTCTCTCTCTCTCTCTCTCTCTCTCTCTCTCTCTCTCTCTCTCTCTCTCTCTCTCTCTCTCTCTCTCTCTCTCTCTCTCTCTCTCTCTCTCTCTCTCTCTCTCTCTCTCTCTCTCTCTCTTCTCTCTCTCTCTCTCTCTCTCTCTCTCTCTCTCTCTCTCTCTCTCTCTCTCTCTCTCTCTCTCTCTCTCTCTCTCTCTCTCTCTCTCTCTCTCTCTCTCTCTCTCTCTCTCTCTCCTCTCTCTCTCTCTCTCTCTCTCTCACACAAGGCGGCTTACAACACAGCTCTTAGACAGTGATTTTAAACCAGTCTGGTTTAAACCCTGATCATTAGCCAATTATGACAAACTCCAACATGGCACTACTTCTTTAACAGGAATCTAATTGGAGGTCTAAGCGATCAATAGTCGGCACGACACACACTACACAATATCCTCCAATAACGATTCGTCACGACCGTGAGTGTAGAAAGTGAGCTGTATGTAATAATATCCATTACATCAGAGATATTCCCGTCACTTTAATTTCGGTCCTTTTTAGTGGCACGGAAATAGTGCTCTGGTGTACCTCACTTTAAAACAGGAAATTATAAGGTAGAGCTGCCTGTTGGCAAGGCTGAAGGCTAGTATGATGTCATTACGCCGCCTCTCTCGTACGAAGTGTTAGCAAGCTGCCCTCTAGATTGGATTTAATTTTGTTTAACCGGAAATTATTTTAAAGCAGACATGAAGTTATGATAAACCAGACATGAAGGCGGAATGTCTCAGAAGGGATGTGAAATTTTTTCAGCATTCCTCGATCATCCGATAAACCAACAATTCACATCATCTATATTTTGATATCTCTTAAAATAACATATAAATTCACTTTCTAAAACTATGTTGTAGGTCAACCTTAAAAGTGAACCCCCGTTCCCCTCCCGGCCTTTGAAATTTAATAGGTCAGTTTCTACTCACCGCCAAAGTTCGAAGACATTACAACCATAAATATAACATAAGTCTCGCTTGAATGACTTAAATGTACATTGTACATCTTTGTTGGGTATATTTTAATTTCGAAGCGTGTAATAAATGTTATAATTTATTTATTTATTTATAATATTACCGTTATTGTCTGAGCAACTGTTCCAAGGAAGACACCCTGGGGTCTCATCACTCGCGTCCCCACAATCATCAACCTGCAACAATACCAGGTTACAGTACATATAATTATTAGTAATCAGGATACAATACATGTTACTAGGTAACCAGGGTAATTGGCTACCAGGTTACTAGGTTGCCAGGTTACTAGGCTACCAAGTTATAATACGGCTATATACCTGGTTACAGATTAGGCGATTAGGAATGCACTTGTTAGTTGAGTTACATTTGAAACCTCCTTCACAAGTATCTCCGCTCTTCAAGCAATGAACCTGGAAAATAATTGCAAATTAATTAATTTAGTAAATAACACTTTCAATATACATAACAATATATATAACAAACAATATATACAAGGAACTGAAACCGAGGGGTTCCGTTCAGGCCCTTCACACTTTGTTTCTGTCTAGTTCTAATGTACCGTCACAATAGTGACTTTAATATAACAAACCTTAATTTTACAGCGAATCAATAAATAGCCACTCAAATGTACTGATATAATGTATTAGAAGTTTACCTCGTCATTATTGGAAGGACAGTCAGTGATGTCATTACAAACCAACTCCTGGTTTATACAGGTCTTGTTGGAACACTTGAACTCGGTCTTTTCGCACACATCTGGGTCGACGAGGTTACAGGAAATTTGAAGGGATTAAAATACATGGGGAGTTTTATACAGCATTCATTATTATCTAAAATCTTTGCCCCCGATACTCGATGCGACATCCATAGAGCTAACAAAAGTTACACTTGATTTTAATAAAAAATGATTAAAATAAAAAGTTTGCTGTTTTCTTGACTCACCACAGTTGAGCTCATCAGAGCCGTCACTACAGTCCGAGTGTCCGTCACACTTCCACTCGAGAGGAACACAAACTCCGTCACCGCACTTCAACCCTCCTCTACAGGGTGTGTTCTCTCCTGGGTAAAATTCAAAGTGAAAGTGAAAGTGAAAGTGAAAGTGAAAGTGAAAGTTGATATAGCTAATAAATCCACTACAACACTGTACTTCTAAAAGAGGAATAACAAGTTTTTAAGTTTCCTTACCACAGTTCAGTTCATCAGACTGGTCCAGACAGTCGGTGTGTCCGTCACAGATGAAGTCAGAGCTTATACAGTAACCATACCCCTGACCACCACAGGCCCACATTGGGGGGTCACAATACGATACTGAGGGAAAATATGCCAGGGTTCGAACAACAAAATGTCTAGAAATTCAAACGTTAGATACAAATCCAAGTATATAAATCAGTACTCAGTAGTTATGGAGAGTGTTTAAGTGGCTTACAGCAAGTGTTGGGGTTCTCGTCCGACCCATCATTACAGTCGGGGTGTTGGTCACAGATCTGCGCGGAGGGTATACAGCGCGTATCTGCGTCACACAGCAGACCATCTGCGCAAGGTCGACCTGGTCAGGGAGTTTAAGGTTAGTGAGGGTATAGAATTATGTAGTATTCAGTATTGAGTATACAGTTAACTAATTCATAGTTCCAAGAAAGTTGTGTAATCCTACTCACGGCAGTTAGCCTCGTCCTCTCCGTTAGCACAGTCTTGAACTCCGTCGCAGCGCCACTTCGCGCTGATGCACGGCCTGCCGGTCGTGCTGCGCGAGCAGTGGAACTGACGGTCTCCACAAACCCCTCCTGCAAGAGATACACGTGACTATTAGCTCTGACTGACTGGAGTTTGTGTACTTTATCACGTATTGCGTCACGTGATGCGTTATGTATTTTTAACCAAGACTAATTGGTGATTATTTCTCCGTAGTCTAGATGACGTTCTCTGTTCACCTCTCCTCATTCCATAAAATTTTAGGTTCTTGCTACTGTCAGACTCAGACAGTGGATCGTTGGTGCACTGATAAATCGATTTAAAACCATAATTCCGGCGCCTATGACCACTATTATGTTCTACTCCACTTCCATCCAGGAATCTGGACGTGATCCAAGATTGAAGAAGGAAGATCTGCGCATTCCGCGGAAATAACAGACTATCACGTCATAGGCGGGGGGTAAATATTTGTGGTCATATCCCACAGTTCAGAGTACACACACACACACACACACCATTGACAGAACACGCAGAGCGGTAGAAGGCAGTCTGGCTCCAATCCAAGTCACAATTTCATTAGTACCTGCTGCCAACAACTAGCCTTGGGGGCCATAGTCAGTGGTTGGCATTGAGCCAGCAGCACAACCACCTGCATATCAAGCAGCAAGCAGAACGGAGCCCTGCCGGCAATGCTTGCTGCTTTCGATACAAATTCTCGCCGGGCTCCGAGCTGCAGTGTCGAAAGAAGTAGTTGCTAAAAGGGCGTGGTTGTCGAATGTACACAACTGGTAAATCCAATTAAAAAGGCGCGCACCCCGGCCCTAGCTAACAAAATAACCATATTTTTGTAGCGCAAAAAGCACTTTCATTACTAATAATATTTTCGCCGCTGCGCGCAAGTCAAGCTAATTTTGGGCTCCTGCAATGCGAGACCTTATTTCCACCATCGGATTCCACTTTGTGGCGATTCTGTGTAATTTAAGCAGGACAAAAGTCACTCAACACTTAAATCACACAGTGCCGACTAACAAAACCAGGAAACTAAAGGTACATGAGGGTACACTCCACACAGATACCAGCACATGAAAACTTGGAAAATTGCCAAGTTGCATTGGCACTCGTCCAAGTTCGGCACCACTATAGAATACCATACTTGCGATGTATATATTAGCACTGCTAGTGTATACTCAGGTTATTTGTATAACACTAGTGTCTTGCTGGAAAATTCAGGGCCATATTTGGAGTGACAATGTCAAACAGTGATTCGAAGTCCGCTAAGTAATGTCAAGAAGTATTGACACTTGAAGAATAAAACTTACATTGACCACTCTTATAACTGAGATTTACTGAGCCGTCTAACAATCGGATAGACAGGATTAATCGAGAATATTCTAGAACATTAAACTGGTTTGGGTTGACAGTAGATAGATACTCCGTAGAGCGAGTAAAGAATGTGACAAATATTTCCAGACACCTAGCGACAATGTTACCACGAGCCTTGTCACGGATATCAGAATAAGAGCGAGCCTGAGGCAAGGTCCCTACATCCTACATATTAGTTAGCAAGGCAGGGTCCCTACATCCTACATATTAGTTAGCAAGGCAGGAGCCCTACTCCCTACATAGTACTGCCTGTAGTTAGCAAGGCAGGGTCGCTACATCTTATAGAGTAGTGCCTGTAGTTAGAAAGGCAGGGTCCCTACATCCTACAGAGTAGTGCCTGTAGTTAGCATGGCAGGGTCCCTACATCCTACAGAGTAGTGCCTGTAGTTAGCAAGGCAGGGTCCCTACTCCCTACATCCTACATATTAGTTAGTGAGGCGCAGGCAGGGTCCCTACATCCTACATAGTACTGCCTGTAGTTAGCAAGGCAGGGTCCCTACATCCTACATAGTAGTGCTAGTAGTTAGTAAGGCAGGGTCCCTACATCCTACAGAGTAGTGCCTGTAGTTAGCAAGGCAGGGTCCCTACATCCTACATAGTACTGCCTGTAGTTAGCAAGGCAGGGTCCCTACATCCTACATAGTAGTGCTAGTAGTTAGTAAGGCAGGGTCCCTACATCCTACAGAGTAGTGCCTGTAGTTAGTAAGGCAGGGTCCCTACATCCTACAAGGTGTCAATAAGACCCAGTTATACAGTCACATAACTTCATCCATACCACACTTCAACTTCCTTTACTGAGATGACACAATCACCCGATATAGCCCAATATCAGGGCCCAATATAATCCCCACACACACATATGAGAATAATAATGGTATTACTCAGAAATATAAACTCTGAAAAAGAATGCAAAGAATGTGGCGCTCACCGCACTCCATCTCATCTGAATCGTCAAAGTCGCCGCAGTTGAGGGTTCCGTCGCAGCGCTGCTCGAGCGTGATACATTTGCCCGTATGTGCGCACTTGAACTCGCGCGTCTCGTCACACACCCACACTGAGAGGGGAGATGTTGAACATGTTGAACATGTTGAAATATTTCAAGCAGCTTTTACTAAGGTAGTCCGACAAGTGTGACTAAGTTTTACAGTTAAATATAAACTTTATCCTATTTTAGTTAGAATAGAAAGCAAAATAATTCTTCAGAAAAATTCTTTATTCACCACGTAGTATTATTATATATAATGAGTTTCTACCCACCCAACATTCAATATTAGATTATACATAATATTCTATAATGCTCAGAATATAATGCTTCATTATCAGAATTAGCTTCCCTTTTATTCTCCTGGGAATGGTTTACTATTAATAAGCTACGTTAATGACATGTTGGCTGCCAAGAAGCTGCTCTTCGCCATTTTTTGCACGAAATACCAGGAATAACAAGCACGAATCTTTATACAATTACAATTTCTGGCCGAATTTGTGTTTAAAACTTACGTTATATCCACCAGATTTACTACACGTTCAACAAGTTTAACAATATAACTGTATGTCTCTCCATTGAATATTGTTGTATCGAGTGTGATGTAAGAGTAGGGGCACTAATTTAATGGTTTTCCAAGTCAAGTACTTGTAAGTTTTAGTAGTTACTCAGGTCACTTTATACGTAATGTGCTCTATCCTGCGTGACCATGTATCACTACTAAAGCTTCTGTAGTACTCCTTTATCCAGTTACATGTTGAGGTTACTTTTGAGGTTACTATTGAGATTACTATTGAGGTTACTATTGAGGTTACTACTGAGGTTACTATTGATGTTACTATTGAGGTTACTATTGAGGTTACTATTGAGGTTACTATTGAGGTTACTACTGAGTCTAGCTGATGCAAATGAGGCAGGGAGTGTATAGTCACAAATAAGCGCAACATAAGCACAGTTGATGCCAGGTTGGCGTGATCTCCAATATTGGCCATATTACGAATATTACTCCTGTGTGCTATCATTATTATGTCGTATTATTATTATTATCACTCTGTAAATATCATGCCACAATTAGAAGAAGTAGTTTGATATCATACGATTGATTTGATAAAGGAGCACACATATATAATAGTTTACAGGTTGCCTCTACAAGTCACTCTAACAAGCTGTACAGTTTATAGGTAGATTAGCTGGTCCCGGGCTACTACTGTAACCAATGGTTACTCTCAGTACTGTTGTTAGGTAATCCTCTCTCTCGCTCCCCTAACTGGATGATTCCTGGAAGACGTTCTGGAATGTTCCTTATTTATTGTTATAGTGTTTAATATGGCACGTAGTAATAATAATGCTCACAATATTATATTCATATTATAGACGTTACGTGTACGTGTGGTATTCTGTTAAACTGTTCAAATGTCAAGTATTCTAAATACGTGCTTACCAGTTAGCTGTTAAATTTAAGTAGGATTTATTATTATGTTATCTCTCTCTCTCTCATTATAAATATTTGACTAATACTACTGGTTGGGAGGTATTACGTTAATTTGCTTTGACGATACTTTGGAGATGCTTTGGAGATTGAGCAATCAGATACGTAATCTTGGGTCACGTGTCACAACAGGGGTTACGTCACCGCCCCACCAGTAGTAGTCTATTTAGTGTTACATAATGTTATGTATCACTATATTCAGTATATTATTTGGTAATAATATTCGGTAATAATAATGCAAATGTTATTTATTCAGCATGCTAAGGAATATAATTATGTACCATTGCTAGCCCAGAAGAATGCCGTCTTATATTTGTAACTAATTGTGCGCAGGATAATCCCACAAACAAGTATATTATAAAGGAGCATGATTAGGGGCAGGGCTACCCCTTGATACAAACAAATTCAAAGAATGTAGAGTTATTTATAAAATAGTCCAGGTTTAAGTACTGCAATTGCGGAGGAGAATAAAAGAAAGGACCGAGCAAGTTCAGAGTAGGGTCGCCACACTTCACAGGTAAAAGGGCAGGAGTACTGGAAGGCAGACTCTGGGCTGTGGCTTGACATCAGCTCAGAACATATCAACGTTGATAGCTTGTGTCTGTTAAACTAGTATGATGATATCAGTATCTTGTCTGGTTAGTATAGACTGTAGACTGGGCCTCGGACTTTCTGAGTTCCTTCTAAGCTTCTACCAACCCGACTACTAACCACCTACCTTCCTATCCTACATTTGTCATATCTAACCGAGCTAAATATTACTAATATCACTACATACATTTCCTGACTGAACAGTGAACAGTACTCCCATCTTACTAAATAATATTCCGACCCGAATAAATATTACTACGATCTGACTAAATATTACTCCGATCTGACTAAATATTACTCCGATCTAACTAAACATTACTCCGATCTGACTAAATATTACTCCAACCTGACTAAATATTACTCCGACCTGACTAAATGTTAATCCGATCTGACTAAATATTATATCTGGTACGTGATCACAACTTTTCAAACTTAATTATAAACCCAATGATAGCACGTTTTCTCAACAATTTCTAATAATTCCATTTATGCGACCAAGGGAAACTGCTCTCATAAATAATGTTCCTATCCGGATATCAAAATTATTAGTAGGGTCTGTTATTTTTCAGATCAGTATTTTACCAGGTCAATAAAAATTTGCACAGAAAATGGAGGTAAGGTGGTGAAAGAGGTGAGGAAAGAGAAGTAAATAAGGGAATAGTTTAGTAGGGAAGGACTGAAGGAGGTTGAGGTAAGATGGGGAAGAACGGTAAGGTAAGATCACCTAGTTGTATTAGTAATTGATTGTGACGTTTCTAATCGAATTTCATTTCAATATTTTCTGTTTTAGATGAGGAATGTCGCACCGATTTATCATTTACGTAATCATTACAGATACAGCATGATTTAAATCACTGTATGTTATCTATAAAATTTTCAGTGACCGAACACGAATCCGAAAGTTTGAAATATATCAAAGTCATGTTTCCCTACCAGCTCAGAAATTGACTGTCCTAACAAAATTAGGGAAGGGAAGAAGGCAAATGTTATAAAGGGTACTATAGGTATATATAAAGCATGCTATAAGATAGAGAGAGGGTGAGATAAGGTGTAGTATTGGCAAGCAGAGCCATTTCGAGAGATGGCAGAGCCAGAAAAATTAGTTTCATTCTGCGCCCTTGTCACGGTGCCAATAAGCCATCCTGGCACTCAACCCATTATACCAAAGATGGTAGGTCAAACAATATAGCAGACGTACCGGGCGAATATAATAAAACAGCAGCATATTAACAGGATATATATACAATATTTTATATCAGCTGAGTGATCCGGAAACCAACCAATACTCTTAAACCGCCCCCTCTAATCTACACCCTCTAATCCACACCTTCTAATCCCCTCAAATATAATCCAACCCCTCCCCCATCCAACGTATTCACTGTTCAACTCCCATCAAATTTTATCCCTCCCCTCTAGTGTGATCTTACCCCTTCCAATTTTTACCCTCCCTTTAATGTGCTCCAGGCTCCTGCCCCCTCAAATATCATCCCTCCTCTTTTAAAGTTAACCCTCCCTTCTAAATTCATTCAAACCCTCCCCCTCTAAAATAATCCCTCCCCCTCTAAAATACTCCCTCCCCCTCTAAAATAACCCTTCCCCCTCTAAAATAACCCCTCCCCCTCTAAAATACTCCCTCCCCTCTAAAATAACCCCTCCTCTTTAAAATACTCCCTCCCCCTCTAAAATAATCCCTCCCCCTCTAAAATACTCCCTCCCCCTCTAAAATAATCCCTCTAGTATAATCCCTCCCCCTCTAAAATACTCCCTCCCCTCTAAAATAACCCCTCCTCTCTAAAATACTCCCTCCCCCTCTAAATTAATTCAATCCATCCCCTCTAAAATACTCCCTCCACCTCTAAAATGATCCCTCTAATATAATCCCCCCCTCTAAATTCATTCAATCCATGGCCATCCCCCTCTAAAATAATCCCTCTAAAATAATCTCTCTCCCTCCCTAAGCTTGTCGGCAAACATAAAGATTAGGGTTAGTTAAATGGTAAACTAATTAATAGCAATCTGTTTTGAAACAGGACAAGTACTTAAAAGATAGTGGTTAGTACTGTTTAATATAATCTCTATTGAGATATTGTGGTGCGCACATTTAAATATACTCCCCCATTCTATTAAAATCTGTAAAACTGTATAGCCGGCGAATTTTGGTGACCAGCCAATTTCTCTGAAATAAAACAGCCGCGATTATCAAAGCCATTAAGTGTTCCTATAGTAAAGCTTTAGATAGTGAGTCACAGGTCACAAGAAGGTCCATTAGTTTGGCCCAGAGCCAAAATCGTATTAAAGCACAGAGCCAAGTTGGTAGAGTCTTTACGACGCACCACATATTGATTGCCAGACTGTTTAGTAAGCCGAGTTAAAGTACTGTAAACGTAATCTGCTCCTCCCACCACCCACGCAGTTTGTTAAAGTGGTTACACCTAGTACTACTTCTACCTTAGAAGTAAATCTATTGCAACTAGTTGAACGTTTAAAGTAAAATATCGTCTAATCTTATTCGTCTTGATCTGGAGACTTTCCAATAGTTTATCTTTATACGGAAAACAGCTCTACAAGAAACTATTACACAAATTACTAATTAGAGGAGCAAAATCCAGAAGGGCGTTAATGTTATGAAATAACAATTCGTATTATACCTTGAATAAATCTAAAACTAGAACTCCTGTACCTCCCATCACCCCACCTCACCATCATATCACCCCACCAATACCTCACCATCACCCCACCATCACCCAACCCCACCCCACCTCACCATCATATCACCCCACCAATACCTCACCATCACCCCACCATCACCCAACCCCACCTCACCATCATATCAGCCCACCAATACCTCACCATCACCCCACCATCACCCAACCCCACCTCACCATCATATCACCCCACCAATACCTCACCATCACCCCACCATCACCCAACCCCACCTCACCATCACCCCACCCCACCAATACCCCACCAAGTATTTAAACTCACCACAATCCTGCTCGTCAGAGTTATCATAGCAGTCTGGTACGTGGTCACATTTCTTAGAGGCAGGAATACAGTTACCAAGGTTACACTGGAACTGGTCAGCGGCACACGTGTCTGAAGGTATGTTAGTTTAGTGGGGTGGATCAGTAAGACAGTAGCCCTGAGGGCAAAATCTAAACATCACAAGCAGTCAACCTTTCGAATGAATATATTATGACCAAAGGAGTAGACTCACCAAGGCACACATACTCCTAGCAATGCATTAATATATTATTATTACAGTTAGTAAAAATATCATGTACCTCTAACTCTATCTATTTAAGGTATTACAATTAACAGCAAATAGATTCGCAACATCCTTGTTTCTAAAGATAAAGGGTCGTGCACCGGAAACGGAAGATGTTACAATTTCGATTGCTTGATTTTTTGTCTTCTCCAGCTCCCCTTATTGTTACCCTCCTCCTTGGTATCAATAATTCTGACTTCCGTTTCCTTGAGCAAAGTATGGAATATTGGAATACACTCCTGGTTGCCTGGCCTTCTAAGAAACGCTCCTGTTATTAACCATACTGTGAACATTCTTCCATTCCCTTTAATTAATGCTAGAACTTTAACAAGGGACATAATATCTTAACTGGGCAGTCGTGACAAATGTGACTTATTCTTCGAAGGCACAACTTAATTTAGTGTGAAGTTGCATAACATTCAATGCTTTAAATGGGACATCAAAGCAAAGGTCTAGTAAAGGGTCCTTTGAGAACTAAGGCTAAACAACCAGCTTGTACGTATAAATGAGGCAACATCCTGATGTAGCAACAATTGAAACGCTTTTGATCCGGAAATAACCGAGCAATATTAGCAGGAATGACTTTAAAGCTTTTAAGCTAAAATTATTGCCATTTATTCAGATAAACCGTTGAATAATGAATGTGTGGGTCCTGGGCCTGCCAAATTTAGAATACTGTTAAAAAAACAATATTTGTAATTTATAGCCAATCGGCATCATATATTATGTGTTTCTCAAAATGAAATTGCCACCATACATTTACCCATCAAAGAGACAATCAATAGTGATGGAGTCAAGTTTCACATTAGTACTATAGACTATAGAGCGTATGTATCAGGTATTGATAAGCCCAATTTTGCCAATAAACTCACGGGTGTCGCAGTCTAGTTCATCTTTCCCCGTGTCTGCGCAATCCACAGATCCGTCGCAGATAAAAGCCGGGTGGTAACACTCTTGAGAATCCTCTGAAAATTTTACTAATTGACCAATCAATTTTCCTTTGCAGTCTTACTTAAACTTAGGATAATTCATGGAATTAATATTCAAATAAATTAGATGTGTACAAACCTCCGCAACTTAAAAGACCGTCTCTACAATTTGAGGCAAAACCTGAAATTAATTAAAGTTATGAAAAATGCTGGACATATTTTTGTTTATCTTCAAAATTCCATTATCCACTGTTCAGCCAAATGAGTCTCAAAGATCTTTATTTTGAGGCCATCACCAATCGGTAGCAACCTGTACATCAGTTCATCTAAATTGACCAAAAATATCTCAAATCATATTATAAGATAAGTAATCTATAGTCACTCACTCGATGAAATAAGAATGGACAGAAATCCTAGTTGAACTATTAGGTCATTCATCTGGCAGTGCCACATACAGTAACATGTTTACCAAGATCTAAAAAATGTTAACAATCTTAGAACTGTGTTAAAGCAGTTGTCGCATTGCTAAACTGTGATAATAATAATAATCATGAGATAAACATTGACTTTCATTCATTTGACTGTCAAATACATTAAATATCATTCTGAATTTTATGGTATGGGCTCCATGGTTATCCAAGACTCAAGTAAACTGTAGAAAGGGAATATTGAACGGATAAAATTATGAGGTAGAATGGGCACATGCACATCGTGGAATGAGGATTATGGAAAAGGTAAATTCAAGGGGAGTATAATAAGGAAAGCAGCACTTCGGCAGTTGGCTGTGGCAAGGGGAGAAGCTTGTGATCGATAGCCTTAATGGGCTTATTAAGGATCATTATCAAGCCCCATCGAATGTGAGGTCATTCATTTCCAGCAGAATATCATATACAAAAATAAACAATCATAACAATAATAAAAGATATTGCATTAAAAAACCATTGCGATAAGGTTTTAACTTATCTGTTATGGCTTAGGAGCAGGTATCAAATTTGACACAATTCTTTAATTTGATTTCATTCATATTCAGAGCTACTCATCTGTTTTAACAAAGACATGTGCAGCTGTTTCGTAAAACAATTCGAGTACCAGCATGCGCCTTTTTATCATTTATGCCTGTTTACATATAACTACTATGCAACTATCGGAACAGAATTTTTCAAGTATATAGAACTAGTACTCAAATTATTTGGATATTATTATATTATTTAATTGATTGTATTGGTTGATTGGTTTTCTCAAAAAAATTATCTTCTCAATAGTGCATTCGAATTTGCTAGATTCCGTGATAAGAAGCCACCATGAAGCAATTCATGTCTCTCGGAAACTGATCAGTATATGAATGAGTAATGAGTATCTAAAGAGTTTTCGAATGTTATCTGTATTTGAGAGACAATTTTTTTTAAAAAGTAAAGTAAAGTAAAATTTATGACATCACATCATCATCGCACTATGTGAAAAAAATATATACCTTACTCAGGAATATTATGACTGGGATAAAGTGATGGGTTTTGGAAAATTCCGCCATATTTTTCCCGGTCAGTCATAATAAAACCAGCCGAGTCAGATTATGGGGTTCCAAGGGGGTGGTGGAAATCAAGCTCCGGCTAACCTTCAGAGCAGTAACCCCACTAGCGGACAAAATGAAAGTCTTGTTAAGACAACAATACGACTTCGAATTTGACGGTCAGCAGCAGGGGGATATCAATAATGATAATGAAGGGGACATTAGCGATAATGAGAATGTGCTTTAATGAAGATTTGACTTATTATTGCTTAGATTTATTTTCCTTTAAATAGACGTGTCTTTTTTTCTATTTCTGAGTAATATCAATTAAAACTGTAAATTGAAATAACTTCTTTAACAAGTAACAAAAAACAGAAATTTCGGTTGAAAATTTGTTGACCTCTGAAAAAAAACTTGAAAGGTCGGCCACCGGTAAATTCATGACCGGGATAATTTGGCGGGTTTTGGGAAAGTTCGCCATATTTTTCCCGGTCATTAATTTTTCCAGTCATAAATTAACCCGCTATAATATTCCCGAGTAAGGTAATATTAATAAATATTTCCCCACCAACATTAATTATTTGTCAAATACAATATTTTTTTAAAATGTATCAAAAACATTATCCTATTTAAAAAACTTCCCAGTGGAATAAATATTTATAAAACGCTTCTTTGCCACATAAGGATGAAACCAAAGATAATCGTTTAAATGTTTCTCCTTATTACTGACATAACCGGCTCCCTCAATTCTTACTAAAACTTCATTAGAAACATTCCAAAAAAAGTAATCATTTGTAATACTTTTAGAAATCATATCTTTCTTAAATCCTTCTAATTTAATTTGAAAGCCTAAAACTGTCACAGAGTTCTTGACGTCCCTAGGGAGTTTGTTCCAATGTGGAATAGCTCGCTCCGGGAGAAAAGACTTCTGGATATTTTTGATTTTAGTTAAACTTCTACTACATCTATTCCTTGAAACAAGATTAAGACCGGATCTGCCAGTTCTAAGCATCCCCGATCTATAATCAGTTAAACCACTTGTTACTTTAAAAGCTTCTACGATTTAAAAGCTTATATAATTTACATACTCTATTTGTTGATTGTTTCAAACCCCGCTGCAACCAATTTGTTTGTATATAAAACCTCGAATATGTGGAATAAATTCCTTAAACCTTCTAGTAAGATTGACTTCTCGTCCCCAATTGCACTTGTTAAAGGTCGCATTAAAACTATGCTACTCAATGCTCAAAAAGCTGGAAACACTGATGAATGGTCAGAACTCAACTTTGATGGAAATGACATGTGCCTATAATAAGAACACACAAACTAGTTATATTCTTATAATTATACCATATGAATTGATTGCACTGCTAATAAATAAAATACTTTGTTTTACTAAAAAATACTTTGTTTTACTAGTCCATATAGATTTCATACTACACACACAAAATAACACACACAATACACACCACATTCAAACATAGAAACTATATATTCACGCATATAACACAGAACACTGATCAGCTCATCCGCTTTACACTGGTGTCTGGACTTGTCTGGAGTGTTCGTCTGGAATGTGGGACGGACTCACAAATATATTGTGTAAACGTAGCGCGCGAAACTTAAAATTGTATAACTTTATCATTTCATTACCCAGCGTGATTTACCGCGCCAGAATAATGAAATGGCGCCGCGCTATATCCGTAAACTTGCAGTCATTTATATCTTATATTTTATATTTTGTATTTCTTACTACGTAACGCGAAAATAAGTTGTATCACACTCCCGGTTTTGGACCCCAATGTTAACCTTGCAGCAACTGTGTCAGCCCAATATACTCTAGAAGTATGATCACACCTATTTTAATGAACAAGAGACCCATAATTAATATAATCAGATACTCGTCAACAGCAGCTGTTTCCGTCCGTGTGATGTGTTGTCCTTCTCCTTTCTGTGTCCCCGTCGTTTTGTTTTGTGAAATGTATTGTAGTAGTGTTTTAATATTTAAATCGAACGTAACTCAATAGTTAATAATAACAAACACAAATACTATTTTAAATAATTGATTAATATCGATTTATACCAACAACCAAACATTAATTATTCTTTGATAACCTTTTATATATGTGTTAAACGATCCATGGCATATCTAAAATTCGATAATGAACTTCACCCATATCCAAAAACCCGCATTCTCGCATTCTAAGAATGTAGGAAATTTTTGACAAAAAGTAGGAAATTTTTGACAAAAAGTAGGAAATTCGAGAGCCAACTCTGAGAATTTTCGATAATATTTCAGTAGGAATTTAAGTGAAAGAGCAGACTAAAAGTTGCTGGACCGTTATTTAAATGTCCTCAGTCAGGGATCCACTGATCCAGTCTATCAAATTTCGTTTCACAGACCAAAGTTTGTTGCTATTAGCTACAAAATCTGTGCATCAAGTTAGATGGCCCCATCACCATGTTCTGCTGAGGGTGAAAAGCTTGTTCAACAGGTTGCTACGAGAATGGCAAGAAACCACTCTTTTCTAAAAACCACCCATGGGGGGATGGGGGCGGCTATAGAAAACTTCTGCAAATCCCAATATAGACTACCATTCCAGTTTTGATAATAGCATTATCAATCATGTAATGTTGTGAACGGTCATCAATGCAATTGTAATATCTTTATGTCAGGAGTTCAAAGAACATTATATAGTATTATGAGTTGATGTAATACGTCTAAACATGCATAATGCATAAGCATTCTTTGTTGCGTTTCCTATCTTATTTAAATAGTAAATACTAATAGTCATTATTATATTTTTGGAAAATTTAAATTCCTTGTTTCTTGAATATTTGGTCTCATACTTGCTTCCTTCTCCAAATTCCCTTAACCCTGTATTAGTTTATAGCTTGAAAGCAGAAAGTGATGGTAGTAGATGAGAAAACATTTTTGCCAAAATTATAAACTCTTGATAGTTCATGCTGTCTCCTATTTCGTGCTTTAGTTAAGCCAAGTGTTTAGGGATTCTAGAATCCAGACAATTTATCCCAATAAAAATTGAAATCAGAAAATAGTATGCTAAAATCGTTCTCCATTGTCAGATTCGTTCCAGGAGGCCAAATCTAGTTTAAATTTCCAAAATTTTCGGGGGCTTCGCCCCCAAAAGTAGCCTAGGATTATCTATTAAAAAGCATTCCGGGCCCTAAAAAAGTAAAATTGAGAATCTGGAATCCGCCATGAAAAATCTTTGAACCGCGCGAATACAAAAACTTTTTATGCGAGCGAAGCGAGCGGGCCACAGAAAACGAAAAAATTGAGAATGTAGGAAATTAAAAATTTTTTGGATATGGGGAACTTCATATTATTAGTGCCGCGTGCTGATAAATATTTTGGGAATCAATCCACCCAATCGTGGCGATAACATACTTTTGTGCTTGGCCGGTTTTAGGTTTGAGTTTGTGCTCCAAAAGTGGTAAATCGGGTGCTAGTAAAGCTCTTGCAGGCAACTGGCTCCTTTTGCCAACTGCTTTTGGTTTAAGCGCTGACTCGCATTTGGAACTGGCACGGGTATAATTGTAATATCCTACGAAGTCAGCATGTCATATTATTTCGCAAAACTCGTTTAAATATCTTGACAATATTTACAATTTAAAGTTTATGGTTTTAGGTTTAGGCGCGGCGCACCGCTTATATGTTATAGCTCAATCATCTTATATTTTCAGCGCTGTGTTGCTACACGCTGTATAACATGTGGACCCAGCGCGGTGCCGCGCCTTAGCAGCAAAAGAGTTATTTATTTTAAAATTTATTTTTGTATCTAGCAAAAATGATGTAATGTTTTCAATATGACGTAGAATTAAACATTAAAGCTATTTCCGTACAGCCTAAGTATGATCGTTAGAAAAACTATCAACAATGAACATGCTAGCTTTCTTTATTTTTGTAAGTCGCGTCGCGTCGGCTGACATCTTGGGTTGTACTGGATGTAACAAGTTTATTATCGGATGTCTACTTATATTTATTATGATATTAT